GACATCCGAGGGTGTACAACGCATCGTTTTCTTTTGACGAAGCAAAATGTACCTTTATTTTTTTTTTTAATCGTGATCGGATCGAGATTTTTTTATTAGGTAGGTGCCTAATAATTTGAAGTCGGTGAAGTTTTCGACTCTATATATTTGTGTAAAAAACGATTCGAACTCCGTATACCGTTTTCTGGGATTCTTATGTGATTTAAAACGATACCCTGGCGGGAACATTCTTTTGAAATATTATTATGAATTTTACCTTTATTCCCTCCTCTATGCTCGTTAAATGTGCGCGTATATTACGTTCATCTATGAAACTGACTTGATAAACTTTGCTACTATGCGTATTATATGTATAGTAACACTTTCATTCATAAAATTCAAAATTATTTTTCAAAAAATTTTACTCTATAAAATAAGAAACTAATCGACAGACGGATTACCTGATCGATATTTTATCAACGCACATAAACTAAACTATTGGGTCTAGAGGCTTGACATTTTGCACTTGAGGTTTGTGGGCAAACACTATACATGGGTAGGTAAAGTTAAGACTCTCAACTCTGAATGTCACTTCAATACAACTCACTAATCACTGTACTAATACATCGCTCGCAGTGAAGTGGTTTCACTCAGCTCGGTGACCTATAATACTATTACTACGCATTATCACCGGGACGCAGCAAGTTCAATAACACAGACGCTGTTCGTACGGATTTCGAATTAGATGCATCTGAAATATGTTGAAAAATCATGTGCATTTTTCAGTAGAAATAAACGATGAATCTTGTTTGAAAAAAAAATTTGTATTGCCACAGCACACCTCCAAATTAATTCGTTGACCATGTTTGGGGATGCTCGTACATTGTACCTACATACATATTATACCGTGTACCGTTACGGTCGAACGGTATAATATGTACGGTTGATGCTGGGACCAGTGATGGAGTAGCAGAATAAACGTCATCGTTGATAACGATTTCGTGATATTTGTCATCGTTGAACAGCTGTTCGACTGTCTTTGCGTCACTGCTGCAGCAGATTTCCCTTGACGCCACTTCTTCGGCAATATCTGCACGTCGGCTGGTAGATGATTATTGATTTACCGTTTCGACTTCCACCGCAGTTTCATGGGTATACATTATGCATAAGGAATACATTAATATTATAATACCTAAACGCCATTATCATTCCACGACTGACAATAGGTAGCGGTCGCGTATCTGTGAGCCGAGTCGATCCGTGATTTAATGCCCTCCAGCTAGGAACTAAACACGTTACTGTCCACTTGTTTTTTCACTGCCATTTCAATAATGACTTTTGTGACGGCACCTGTCTTTAATATTATACATGCGTTTCGGTGAAATTATTCGATTTCATACCGCAATGTGACGATGGCCGATTGGAGTAGATAGAAAATTGCATTATATAGTGCACACGAGACGGAAGACACGATGATTTCGGAATCGACGCCGATCGGTTAAATACCTACCTGTCGATTGTTGTTTCTCACGTGTTCGAGGTAAAGGGTTCAAACGACAACCTTGGTGCACGAAAACTTCCCAAACCTTCATTCTGTACTAGGATAATTGATGTCCGTCCGTACTCTTCGAGGGCAGTGGTGTATTTAGGTTGGGGGCTCAGGGTGGCAGTCACCTAGGGCTCTAAATTCAGATTCTCATGCGGTGGCGCGCGTTGCTTAAGGTTCAAAATACTTTGTGACGTTGTTAATGATGGATTTATATTTTTTCTATACGAAATTTATGAAAATACACTTTTATGTGGTTTTTGAAAAAGATTTGACAAATTATTGATGGGGGGGGGTAGGTTGTGGTACTTTTAGAGACTACGGCACCAACCACCTAAGACATTATGACACTGTTGTTAAATGATAATAGAAAAGAGGCCCTATACATCATTGTGTGCCTGGGGCGCCTTCATATTCATAAAAGCGTCACTTTTCGCGGATCCAACACTCAGGATAATAGATGGTAATACTATACGTATTATGCACGTACTACTCCATAATATTATACTTTATACAAACAAAACTGAATTATATTATTTTAAATAGCGTGTTCGTCCGGCTCCTTTGTTCGTCGAGATATTCATGTTTGTTTTTTTTTCACTTTCTCATTCTAGCATGTCGTTGCATTTATTATTTGTAACAGGTACCCCCCTCCTATTCTATAATATATACTGTGTGATTATACTATTAATTAACAGCCACTATCACCGAAATGATTAAGGTTTTTGAAAATATACATTTTTTACATACTTACCTAGTAATAATTAGTATGAATTTGAATCGTAATTACAAAGCAATATTTCAAAAAATGAAATGTTTACTATTTTAGTATTTTGTTTTGCAATATACAGTACTAGGTTTATGTACATAATTTTGAAGGGAGCGATAAGTGTATTCTAAAATAGAAGAAAATGCACCATTTATCAACTACGAATGAGGTTTCTGGTAGAAAGTTGGGTCGAAAGTAGAAACTTTTCAAAACTTGTTCATATCATCAGAAAAAGGGAAGGGGGAGGTAAGAACATAATATTATGTAAAAATTAGTAAAATTAGTAAATGCTTATGTATTTAAATTCTTAAAAAAAAGGAAATTAAAAATGAATGTTATTATTCAAAAAAGTAAAATCATAAATTCCAATTATTTAAAAATCTTGATTTGTCAGAATCATTTGTTGAATATAGATTTTGTTCAAATCTTATCAAAAATTATTTTCAAAAACGTTAAGACTTTTTGAAATAATGAGTGCTCTACTTAAAAAATAAAATCCTGTATATCATTATGATACTGAAACTGCAATAATTATTCATTGACGGTATTAGCGTTCGACAGTTGATATTTGATTATTATTATTTACTAGGTGAGGTGCTTCATGAAGATGACCTCCATTCTCTAAATTCTCGTCACAGACCAATATTTTTACACGTCTATTAATGGATATGAAAACAATTGATAGAGTTATATTTTATAATCATTATATAGGTATCTATAGGCATTGAACACTTCACCGTGAAATCGAGCATTAGATTTCGGATGGCGATATTTTATAATACACCAACATTGACACGAATTACATAATTATAAGTTATAACATAGCGGGATGAGCTCATTGAATCACATTTTTTTTATGAAAATTCGTTGAGGACAAGTAAACACTTGTTCATATTATTATATTTATTTATATTATGATGATTATAAAAATGTACCCACATAATAAGTTAGATAACCCACTTTTAGGCGCAAATCTCTCGAATCTGTGCAATAACTATGAACATCTGTTAACAATTATATACATTTTTAACATATTTCAATGTCTTTTCAGAAAATTGTTTATATTCTTATTCGATGAAAAATTGTCACCTTGATAGTGCTAACATATATAAATAAACCCAACCTAAATTAGTCTCTCATTTTGACAATTTTACAGTATTTCAATTAAGAATAAAATTATCAATAATATTGTGACCGCAATTTGTTTCGAATCGTTTTTATTTTTAGATTCAGGGACGGTGAATTTTTTTTACCTCACCTAATACAATTATATCTAGGATGTATAATAATTTTTATCTAACATTGAAATATTTATGTTTATTCATTAACCATGAATAATAATTAAAGTGTTCTTACGTTTATATATTTAAAACGAAAAATTATTGTACATGATAAACATTTGGGTATACGTTACCGTTCATTAGAACGGTATAACTATTAGCTAGGCAGAGCTAATCGTGATCCCAAGTATTTTATTTGAGTTTGGTTGGTGATCGCATACAGTCATGTTGAAGCAATTACATCGTCAGTGCTAGGAAAATACCTATTATACTATACCATTAGTCGGTTTTGTTCGCAGTCGTTCAATCAGGACCACGGTAGAGTGTAACTTTAATTCTCATTTTATATAACACCATACAGTTTAATTGACTCCATTTTTGATAATATGCAGTGTTATGATGATGCGAATTAACTTGTATTGTTATCTAGATAGGTTATTATTGTACTCTATAAAATCCTTAACAAATAAGACAGAACGTAGTCATCGATTCAAATTAGAGAAATTCTAGCGGGTGATATAACCACCTGTTATAACCGATGTGTTATGTAAACTATTAATTTTAAAACGATAGTCTTTAGAAATCTGTATTTGCTGAGATATCCCTTCAGCCGATTTCGATTCTTCCAGTCTCCAGTTCACCGTTCACAAGCTCCCGAACAATGCCGTATTCCATTCATTACTACATTAGCTCGAATCGTTAGAAAACCATAGTGTGAGCGAATAAAAGAATGGTAAACGGTAATAATCATTATATATTCAACCGTAGTGATAACAATATTAATTGTGTGGTTGCAGCGATCAAGATGTTTAACGAAAGTCATTTAATTTACCTATGTACACATATCCTATCTATATCGATTGATTTTATAATTTCAAATTATTCACAATATATACATATATTGGGTGTACCTACCATGGTATGAACACGACAAGTTACACATTATACTATCTATAAGGATTAAGGACTATAGTTAAATTAATTTAATTTCAGCTGTGATTGGGTATATAGGTAGGTTATTCGTTTAAATAATATGAAGTAGGAAATATTTTGGTAAATATTACTGATTAGAAAATTTTATTTCCACAACTTTTAACTCGACGTCAGTAAACACCGATTTAACCGGTGTATTCTTGGTAAGGGAACCTAGGTGATTTTATTTTTTCAACTGACAACGTACATAACTATACGATGTATGATATATAAATTAATTTACCTATACTAACCACCTATTCTGTATTCATACTTAATACTAAACAGTATTTGATGTTTAACAAACATTCACCTACAAGGTGTATAATAGAACACATTTTGGGTCGGTTTGACTTAACGGTCTATAGCGTAAACTCTACGCCAAATTTCGTCTTCTAACAAAATATAATTACTATTGTAATAATTATTATTAACGACGCATGATGTTCAACAGGTGTTAGGTGGCACGAGCGTGATGAACGGTATGATGTACATGCGGGGCAGTCGGCACGATTTCGACGGCTGGGCCAAGATGGGAAATCCGGGCTGGAGCTACCAGGACGTGTTGCCGTACTTCCTCAAGTCCGAAGACAACCACCAGGCGACCATCATGGATGCTGGTTACCACGGAGTCGGCGGCCCAATGCCGGTCGGTCAATTCCCATACCACCCACCGTTGTCGCACGCTATCCTGCAGGCCGGTCTGGAGCTTGGCTACCAGGTCCGTGATCTGAATGGAGCCCTGCACACAGGTTTCGCAATCGCACAGACCACGTCCAAGAACGGTTCACGTTACAGCATGGCCAGGGCGTTCCTACGGCCAGCCAAGGACCGGGCCAACCTGCATGTGATGCTCAACGCTACCGTGACCAGGGTGCTCATCGACCCCAAGAAGAAGGCTGCGTACGGAGTGGAAGTGTACAACGGGGCAGACGGACGGACGACCACAATTGGCGCACGACAAGAAGTGATCGTGTCAGGCGGAGCTGTTGCCTCGCCGCAGTTGCTCCTCCTGTCGGGCGTCGGGCCCAAAGATGATCTGCGTGCCGTCGGCGTGCCAGTCGTGCACGATTTGCCGGGAGTCGGCCGGAATCTGCACAATCACGTGGCGTTCTTTGTCAACTTCCGCATCAATGACACCTCAACGACCCCCTTGAATTGGGCCACGGCCATGGAGTATCTGCTGTTCCGAGACGGGCTCATGTCCGGCACCGGTATATCCGAGGTGACCGCCGTGCTTCCGTCCAAGTACGTCAACCCTGCCGATGACAACCCCGACCTACAGTTCTTCTTCGGCGGTTACTTGGCCGACTGTGCCAAGACCGGTCAAGTGGGTGAAAAGTCTGGCAGCGGCGCCGGCGACGGCCGTCGAACCATCAACATGATACCGGCGGTGTTGCACCCCAAGAGCCGAGGTCAGCTCAAGCTCAAATCATCCGACCCACTCGCTCACCCAGCCATCTACGCTCGGTACCTGAGCCACCCCGACGACGTGGCCGTGCTCGTGGAAGGTATCAAGATCGCTATTAAGTTGTCCGAGACACCCGCACTCCGCAAATATGGCATGGAACTGGACCGGACGCCGGCCATGGGTTGCGAGGACCTGGAGTTCGGATGCGACGCGTACTGGGAGTGTGCGGTGCGCCGAAACACAGGACCCGAGAACCACCAGGCCGGAAGTTGTCGGATGGGCCCACCCAGCGACCCGGGCGCCGTTGTTGACGCGGAGCTCCGCGTGCACGGCGTCGATCGGCTGCGAGTGGTCGACGCGTCAGTGATGCCGGCCGTCACTTCCGGAAATACCAACGCTCCGGTGGTGATGATCGCAGAAAAGGCGTCTGACCTGATCAAGGCCCGATGGATTGGCCGAAAGCCGTGGAACAAGTGGTAAGGCGACTGTGGCAGCCAAGCGGCGACGTCCTATTTTAATAACTTTGTAACTATCGGTGCTAGAATCGTTGGAAAACTGCAAAAACAATAGTATACACTGGTTATCTTATAGATATGAACGCTAAAAACACATACACTGGCAATTATTTTCGTTCCTGTAGTATAGACTAAAATATATATATATTGTAAGACACCACCAACATGATAAGTAAAACACAATTCATTTCCAATATTTGCATAATTTAATATAACCGACTATTGCAATATGACGTATCGAAAGTATATCCAATGCGTATTTATATAGGTACGTCCATTACTTGACCATCGAATAAATTGATAAACCGTGGTTGTTATAAATTATATTATTTACATCAAAGCATTCTAAAATCTATAAATATCCGCTATGACAACAGATCGAAATACTTTCATTGAAAGTTATTCATCATAATTTTATTCACATTCGATTATAAAATATTTAATTTAATTTCGGATTTACGTATAGATATACAATATATTTTTCTCTGTGCATATTACAATATTTCTAACACGACTATTGTAAAATTAATCCTAGCAGTTCCATTCTCAGCGTTTCATTCGCGAAAATCAATCGGAGCACCCCAAAATATTTCGTCCCTCCAATACTCCACATCCTCCGCCCGAAATCAAGCACTTTATTTAAAACAAAACAAAAAAAAATCATATTCTGACACCTATACTATATTACATTATATTATTATTATAATAGTATGTGTTTGTCGTGTGCATCCATTTCGTATCGTATCGCACACCATGTCACTTTTCACTCGTCGCACACGTCTTGGTCGTTATCACAATATTATATTGCTTTAGACCGCTCTACGCAGTCTGTGCAACTCGCCGATGAATCTCAACGATACACAATATATGACGATATCACTATAAGTTTTATACCACAAAATATGTACTATATAATATAATATACCACTCGCACGCACTATCACGATGGCGTCGATATCACCTGTATGGTCACCGACTATAGTGCCCACCCGGCGTCTCCGTATGCTTCTGGTTTCGTTATTTATTGTGCACCTATATATTTTTGAGAAGACTATTATTATTATTGTTTTTACAGAACGCAGTCCCACTGTACGTCCACGTCCCGCGACCGGCAATCAAGTCGTCGCCACCACCTGTTTAGGTACCTACTATATTATTATGTATACGACCATTTATATACGATACGTCTACGAGTTATGGTTAGGTGCTCGGTGTGATTGTATACGCTCTAAAGTTAGCACACAGTTTAACGTTAAGTCCTATTATATAAAGAGCACGCTTTTAATAAATCAATCGGTTAATTGTTTATTATATTATCATTATTAAACATTAATATATTAGAACGTAATATTATCATGATATTGCGTACCCAGGTCTTATTTAAATAATATTTTAGTTGGTAGGCACGTAACGTAACGTATATAAACTATAGCAATGTTATTAAAATATAATACATTGAAATGCCATGACGAGAAATTAGGGCCATTATTATATTTAATAATGTTAAAGGGAATTTAGCCGACAAATATTGTAGTATTTATACGTTTTGTTAAGTATATAATTCGATGCATTACCTAAATTATTATTTTGTTTATAATATTATCGGTACGCTCATACATAAAGCTGCGCGTTGTGTTTTAGTCTTTAGTTTGTCATTGCAAGGTGTACTACAATGATCATTATTTTCACTTAGCTTTTAGGTACCTAAATTATAAATAGCATATTATATGCAATATTATGTATGTAGGGAAAATTTAAGGAATCACTTTACTTTTTTTATGTCAAAATAAATTATATAATGTTCTGTACTATGGATCTATGTATGGTTAGTTACAATTATTATTATTATTATTTTTTTTTTTGCTTATTATTTTTTAATCTCGAGTTAAACATAAGTATGTACCTAGACCTAAGAATAATAGTTATATTAATTTATGCCACATTACATATTATATATAATATTATCATTTTATCGTCGTATTAAATTGTATCAGAATATGCATTTTATTTATCGCGTCAAAGAGTTTTAAGTATATTATGTATTTTATTGTAATGTTAATACATACAGACGTATCGTTCATTAATTATTGTATAATTTAAAAAAATACATAAAAAAATTAATCAAAAATATCGATAAAATTAATTACACAAATAATATCATTATATTTCAGTAGGAATTATAATTTAATATTATTTGTAAGTTTAATAATTATGTATAATATTAATAAATTATGCGTCATTAAAGTGTGCGATTTTTAACATTGATATTTTGTATTATATAACATAATATTTATAAAACAAACATTTTTTTCTAATTTTACGTGAAAAATGTACAGGCAACAAAACAGTGGGTACACTAAACACATTGTGTCGAGGATACAAAATTACCTGATCTTGTCTATATATTTTTACTTGATGTTTTCTGCTATCGACACTCCTCGTTGTCCTTGACCGTTACCTGAATCAAGGATTGGAATTGGAATTAAAGTATTGGCAGAGGTTGAAGGATTGAGAGATTCTGTTGTAGGTTAAATTAACTTGGGCTGGGTAATAGGTTCTGGTATTGACTTAATTACCTGAGCATGTAATTTGTGTGGATGGGAATTTGTCGGAAGAAGCGTTTTCTTTTCTAACCGCTATGGATGGCTAAACTTCCGTTTTGGTGATTTGGGCCCCCGACATTGATCAATTATGATATATTGATAAACATATTATTTTTACTCAGTTTATACAGTAGATAAATTAGCAGATAATTTTACTAACAATTTTATTGTAACGAACACAATATTTTATGGTATACTTTTTGAGTTATTAAACTAAGGATTATTGCCCATGATAATAGGTTTAAAAGATGTTGGGGTTATTAAGGGGTAAGATTATAATCGTAGTGAATAATATGGTTATAATTAATTTTGATAGTTTGATAGTTCAATTTTTATAATTTCATAAAAATATTACCATCAAATTTTATAATTTGTAAAAACTGTATGAGTATAATAAGTACTTGACTGAGTATAAATTAAAGTCACTTAATACATTTACATTTTAAATTCAATATTTTAATCACGATTCTAAAAAGAGTACCACAAAAAGTGTCTTGTCATTTTTGAATGTCCACCATCCATTAATATAATTTAAACATATTTTACAAACAACTGAAAAGTAACGAGTCATAAAGAAATATTATTATAAATTAGTGATAGATCTACAAAGAAACTAGGTATACATTTTAAATCCAGACAATCGTTTAAACATTGTAGTAGGTAAATACTACCTAAACATATTATACTAATAAAATAGCATTTTAGAATTAAAATATATGAGTTAAACTTTGTACCTATATATTGCCTATATGCGACGCCGTACAACGTTTAATGTGTTGAAAATCAAAACAGGCCCTGCCCTTTTTAGCACTGGGAAGAGGTTAATATCATACAAATGTTGCTATATATTCTAAAAACCACCAACAATATCAAAGATCGGAGCAATAAAAATTATTTTTCAGCTCCAAAAGACACGGGACAGACACAAACTCAAAAAAATATATACTTAATTCTAAGACCGATACCTTTTATTACTCTGCTCGGGATCTAAATTACAGGTAACTTATTTCCTTTTTGTAGAATTGTCTTAATTATTTAAATATCTATAAAACATAATGTAAAGATTATTCTAAATGGAATATACATAGATGATATTTTACCATTATTCAGATAGAAATTTGTTTATTTTATTTGTAAATAATTTTTTGTTACAAAATTATCTTGATCTTATCAATATAATATTGTATTTCATGTATTCTGTTATACTATTCGTCGGCCTTGAAGAGTACAGATGCACCAGTAAAATTGAAATTCAAGTATTGACCAGGGTTTATCGATTGAGCAATTTGGTTTTGATTTTTGGTAAATTGATTTGTTTGGGGAAGTTTTTTTGGTATCGACTCGGCCTGTAATTTGTATGGGCTGTACCTCAGTCTTTATCTTCGATCCCAGCTGGAGTCTCCTCCACAGATGATGTCAATAGTTCTGGTTTATATGATGTCGATGAATCTGGCTGATTTGACGAATCTGGCTGATATGGCGATGAAGAACCTTGCTGATATGTCGGTGTTGAAGGCGATTGTGACTGAGGTTTAGAGCCTCCATAAAACTGACCAAAAAATTCTTTGATTTTATTGGTTCTACCCTCATCTTCGTCATTAGTTTCTCTAACAATCCGATGAGTTGGTTTACCTAGGAACAAAATGTAAAAATGTAATACAACAAAGTTCTTAAATTAATACTTATAAAATGATGACTAAAGCAAAAACGTTCATACATTTGCAAATTTTTTCTTATTCAATTTATTGTATGCCTGGCAAATAGAAAATAAAATTTATTTTTTGTTATCAAATACTCATTTTAAATGAACATTTTTAGTAATTACCTATTTTTTTCAAATGTCGACATTTTTTGATTTAAATTTAGGTTCTTTTTTTTAAAAAGTCATATTCTGGGTGTTTATAGAAAATAGAGCACTCTAGTAATTATTTTTTGTTAGTAATGCTCAATAATATTATTGTTTAATTAAATCATGAATTAGTTATAAAGACAGCAAGACTTATTTTTAGATTACAATATAAAGTGCAATACAAAGTTTATCAAATCGTTTATTGAAGATTTTTTTTTTGTTTGATTTTATTAATAAAACGTGGCTAATTATTTCAGTAGAAGGTTATTTTTTTTTTTTTTGCCTAAACTTAATCACTTAATGTACATATTTTTAAATAATACATTTTTAGTGTATTTAAATCATTGCACTAATAGTTATTACTTACTATTATCAGTTATACTTAATCAATTTGTTTCATATTATGAATCATATTATCAACTATCACGGTATTGAAATAAGTTAAGTGAAACTTAATTTATTTTTGTCAATTTATTGAAATTTAAAACTAATAAATAAAAAAACAATAAAAATCTCAATTTATAATGATTATGATTAAGCTAAGGTTTTCGTGCGTAATTTATCTGTCTAATAAAGTTATAGATAATTGATACACTGTTATTCTATTATATTGTGTAATCCTATTAATTGTGGAATGTCTGCATAATGAGGAACTACAATAATACTGGCTTTTAAACGATGTAAACCATTTAATTATCATCTCCTTTACTGTATGATTTGAAGACGTTTGTTGATAAGTCAGTATTCCATTGTTTTGTCCTAGTTGATAGAGAATTTCAAACTAATAACTACCATGCGTTATTTTAATAATATTTAAAGTAATTTGGACGGTGCCAAAAATGAGTATCGAATGTGTTTTTTGGTCAATAATGTTCTATTATTAGTGTCTAATTTGTATAGAAATACTCATATAGGATGTAGCGAACAGTAAAATAGATTTGTTTTGCTAAAAATATTAAATCTCAAAGAACATTGCACATCTAATATGATTTAGTCAATATAATAAAATATAATAGTAGGACATTATACTTACAGTGCGAAAGCTGGAGTACCGTCACAACTGCGAACAATGCGATTGCGATTTTCACGTTCATGTTGACTTGCTGGCACGAAAATGGGAAAAACCGTTTAGTATGATAATAATATTATGTAAGTATGAACGTTGGATTAATGACACGAAAAATTATTTTGAATTACAGACGGACGACTGATGTTTGGTGACCCGTGGGGTTAAGGATTTATAGAGTTGGGAACGTTTACGGCCCCTCGTGAAAAATTTGCATACCTCGCGGTTAACCGGCGCGATTAAAAAAATACAATAAAGTTGCCAAAATAGATAATCGTTGTGGCACACAACCATCATATTTGCATTCGATCCCCTTGGCTGGTTACCGCGGTTAAAGGCAAAAAAAGTTTTGTCCTCTATTCGTCTTTGCGATCGTGCGTGTTTCACTAGATCACCGAAGTCATTAACATGTCTAGGAATAATAACTACAAATTAGGGCGATTAGACAAACCAGCCGGAAACTCTTACGTTCAACAAATTATCAAAAGACAAAAGCCTCCGACCGGCTTAATTCGGTCATTCATCTCACCATTAGCTATGTGTGGAGCATTATTTTTTTGTGCAGTGTTAGTGTTAAACGTATTAATAACTGTATAAGGCAGCTGCCTAACTAAAATATTATTATAGTTTCTGATTTGGCATGTGATTGCAGTCCTAGAAAAAAGATTTATGACAGTCATAAAGTGTTCAAATAATCGTTAATAATTATATTATAAGAATGAGATTAACCTGCGATAGTAATATTTCTGTTGATATTTTGTAATTTGATAGTACCTTCATATTATTTGAATAATACAATTTTACAATTTCTGATATCTTATTTAATAATCTTAAAAATAAATAAGTTTGTGTTTTACAATGTTTAATAAATGTATCTCCTCAACAATTTTCAAATTTACTTAGTTTTGATATAAACTTATGAAAAATATTAAAATTACGATTTTTGAATTTTAAACCACGATTTAACTTGTATTCAAAATGTTCAGATCAGTAAAAACCATGCATATTTAGTAAAAATGCATGAACAAGATCAACGATCACGTTCAAAATATGATTCTGAACGATACAAAGTTTGGTTTAAGTACCATTTACTGGCACTGCTTTAAAAAGTGGTATACTACTACAGCAGTAGGAAAACTACTGAGAAAATTTAAAAAAAATAAGTTTCTTCAAATAGGTGGTATAAGTTCCATATATTTGAACTCAATGTACAATCAAAATAATTATTGGATAATGTGACACAAATTTTGCACTCCGGTTTAGACAAAATTATAAAAGCAGTATGATTATTATAACATATACAATAGAACTTGGTATCATGTGTTTGGCGAAGTTTTTACAGAGACCTTTGAAGAAATGATCAACATTGCCAGCATCAACCCTGGCAAAAGTTTTCTATGCTATAAGAACAACCACAAGAGTCAGGCTGATAGGTCTCCGTTTGCTTCTCTGGGCAACCACCCGTGGTAACTGGTTCTGTGGTTGTCGATGGTCCTGGATTTGGCACTGCTGTTCCCGTCACTGCAGGTTTCACCGGATTCACGTACCCAGAATTTGACTCTTCAGTATTATATGATCCACCAACTCCGGAAACTGACTGTATTACTTCCCTTACTCTGTCGACTGTCGGCTTGACCACGTTCATCCTGCCATCGTCCTTCGCGGTGCCTATAAATACACAGAATAATATTTTATAGTTAAATTTTGTAAGTATCGCGAATAAGGCTCACACGGTAATACATAATATGCACAAACCACATACATATAAAATAAGAAACACATAACTATAATAGTATCATACATTATGAAGGTACTCATTTTAAAAAACAGAGGTATTGAGAACTCTCAAGCCCCAAATTAAATGAACCTTAGGTACGTTTTGAAAGGAACGATATAAGTACTATTGATTTTGAGAGTCATAAATAAACACGACAATTATCAAATTCATAAAAAGTTTTCCGTTTGAATTTTTTAAAAGATGCCAGTTTGCCTCAATTTGGAAAATGCTATTTACATACAACTATTGATACAACATAAAATTTAGAGCGTTTGTTTTGTTTTTTTTATAATATTTAAAGTTTTTAGTTAAGTTTCTAATCGAAAGATTTTGGTCATTAACTTCTATTCACGTTCCCAAGGCTGGTCCACGGCGGAGGAGAACCTCATAGTGGATTAAGACTTGGTCCAAAAAAAACTCCGGAGAGAGTTTACGGAATTACGTACAGCCGTGTCGAATACATCTTGTTCTACCTGGAGACGTTGTGGAATTTTTTCCCGGTGACGGTCTGCAAAGGTTGCGGTAATGTCGACGGACTGTAGCCCATGGGAAACTTTATCAAGCCTTAATTTTTTTACATTTTTAGTTTCTTAACAAGTTAGGTAATTTTCTGTTCAACTTAATTATTTGACTAATTGAGATAACCATAATTTACTTAACTAATAATTTTACTTTTCCCTGTTAATTTAAAAATAATACGTGAAGTTAAAAAATATTAAATCACGTTGTATAATATTACTTTAAACAAAAATAAACAAATTCTTAGATTGAATTAAATAATTACCTAACCTAACTAAATACTTACCTAAATTAGGTTTGTTTATAATATTATAAACTTAATGTGTTTAATAACGTGTAATAATATGCCTAAATCACTATACAACTCGTAAGATAGGAAAGCTAAGAAATAAGTATGCACTTTTAACAAAATATTTAGTTATTATTTAAAAAAAATAAAAGCTGCACACCAATCACTATAATAGTTAAATATTATGGATGATCTATTGATGGTAAATCCATGTTTTTGTTTTAAATATGTCGAAGTTTTTGAGAAATTGAAATTCTATATATAGCTCAAAGAGATACTTGTACCTATTATTCAACAAAAAAATATGGAATTTACACTTCATATAATTTATAATTGTTATCATTTCAACTATTTTTTAAATTTATTATCATCTAATTAATATAATATTATCGTATATTCTCAAGTCTCAACACTAACTCTTGCAAATTTAGTTTTTTAAAATTAATTTGCATATAGTTTGTTGTTTCATACCTATCACACAAATTATTATTTTTGTTTACAATTAAATCATACTTACAATAAGAAAGGTGGATGGAAGCCAACGTGATAAATACAATTGATTTCATATACATTTTAAATAAATCTGTAATAATATAAAATAAATTCAAATCGTGACTTAATTTATGAAAAATAAGAATCTAATGTTTATATAGATAGCAATAAGGAAATAACTTAATAACACAAAAAAACCGATTCAATAATAAAAATAAGTTGAACTAAATTATATCTATAATAATCAATTTTACTATTTAATCCTGTGAAACTCGTCAAATTTACAATAATTGCCCTTCATATTTGACTTTAAGTTGCCAGTTTGGCTTTGAGTACCATAATAATATATGAAACTCCACATTTGGCGATATTGTTTATTAATTTATACCTATCCAAGCGATTCTCCATATCAGAAACTCATAATAGCTGAGTGTCGTAACATATGAGCCCGGGTTCATAAAAACCTCTGAGTGACTCAGTTTGAGTGCATAAATGCAGATACTCAGGCATTCGTGGCAAGATCAGTGGCATTGGTAGTGCAGTCGGCTTGATGTTGATAGAATGTTTTGGATTAGTGGGACATTAAAATAAAACGTATCACTAATAGTGTTTTGTAAAGCACGTAAACTTACCTTTTTTTGTTCAATACAAAATTAGTAGGACCACCTGCAGGCGATTGTCATTCACTAACAATTCAATATCACTGAAAACAGATTGATCGAAAGCGAAATATCAAAAAAATTCTTTAATACAGTATCAATACTCTGTATACAAACGCATATCAACTACAAATACCTAATTCACTTAAGTGTTAAATGTCTAAATGAATAAAACAATAGTTTTCTTATTTTTTCGAGTTACGCGTAATAATTCAGCGTCCAAATTACAAAAACGATATGGCTCTATATGAGCTCTACCCCTCCACGTTTCTGCCTCTCCCACCAAAACCACGCGTAAACACGCAGAAAAACGCAGTTTTTTGGATTGCAATTGTTTAAATTGCCTGACAAAGATATCATAAATACTAGACTGGACTACGCAGCAGCTGCAGTATAGGGTATCCAAAAAACATAGATAGTCGTTAATTTTAAATGTATTTTCCCCAGAATTAACATTAGGTAGGTACTCATATTCAATTTAAAGGGGAAGTATTTTGGGTTTGATTTCATTTACATCAAAATAGCTGGTACTTAACAGCACGACGATTAAATTCAATTTGTCGCCGATAAGAATGTCGTTTTTTTTTGCAGATAAAAAAGTAATAAATTGACTGTTAGATTATTTGGGCATAAATTATAATGTAATGTAAATGCTTACCTGTGGCACAAACTACAAACGATTTGACCTCTTTGAATACTTCAATGATAATAGGGTGTGTTTATCGTAAAAGTTTATCTTTTTTAAACTATATTAAAAGATTTGAATACAATACCTTCGTGTATCGATGTGATCGCGAAAATTTATATTAATTTCTTAATTTTACTAAAATATAACATTATTTCCATTTGCTAAAATGTCAATTTAGTTAATGATATAGTTGGTTTGGTAAGTTCCTACTTGTAATATGACTAGTGAACGACTACATGTTAGTACATTGAGATGATATGCAGATAGATAAGTTACTACTCAAGATACAATTAGATAGGTTTCTGTTTAACATAAACAATTAAACTAATTAGAGATGAATTGTATAGATGACGTCTGATTACGATTATTTTCTCCTTCCATAAATTGCTATTAACTTTTATTCTTATTTAAAATGCTTGTGAAATCTTTTATGCTGATTAAAACAAATTGTCTCTGTGATCATGCATCTTCCTTTTATATCTAAAATATTTTAAGTTTCAATTAAATTAATGTATTAAAAAGAGTAGGTACATCCGATTTTGAAAATATAAGTGAAATATTAAATAACTGAATACAACATAATTGAAGTAAATAAAAACACAGAATGACTCTATGTCAGAGGTATTCAAAAGTTTTCATCACACGGCTTCTTTAAGGCTTCATAAAATGTTGACGGCTCCCAAATTATAAATGACAAAAAAATAAATGTTTATATGAATGTAATTTATATTTTATTATTTATTTACCATATTACATAAATAAAAAAATTAAAGCTAAATTTAGCGAATGATTGTTGTAGACAATTCAACGTTTCCCAACCGGTGTGCCTCAATGATAATAGTAAACCATTTACGTAAAAATATTTATTGGTTTTCAATAAATTATACTACGCGGCTCCCTGCGACAACTCCCGCGACGCCCCTGGGAGCCTCGAAGCACAGTTTGAATACCTCTGCTCCATGTAGTAGGCAGTGGCGGCTCTCAAGTAAATTCATTGGGAAGACGGGAAATTTAATAAAAAACATTTAATACAAAATGACAAAAAAAAACTTTTTTCATCATTATAATATTGTAATAGATTTGTAATTATAAGAATAAATAATTTATAATATTTTAAAATGCTAATATATTTATAGTGTAATTTATTATATTAATATGAAGTTTGTGTATAATACAAATGATAAATAATATTACCCGGCGATACAACGTCAAACATCTAAATTAAACGGTCTAATCGGCCGCACGAGTGCACGACACGCTGCATGTTTTCGTGTTCACAGAAAAATATGTGACGACAGCGATGCGAACATGTGTGTGAAGTTGGCCCTCCGACTTTGTCCGATCAATTCGAAAAATGTGTCATTGACCGAAAGTTTAAAATATTGTGTTCCTTTATATCATAAAATGTTCAAAATATGTTATCTTTTTTTGAGCTATTCGCAGACATATTCAACTTTCAATTATTTTTAGTTTTTATTCTAAAAATGTAGATACAAGATTTCTCTTAATTAAGTACTATAATAGTTCGAACATTTTAAAGATACATGGATATTATAGTTTTTATATAATATGCAGTTGAAGTTTAAAATCAAAAACATAATATTCAAATTATTTTGTGGTTAAAAATGTATTAAAAGTCCAATTTTTATTTCTATAAATTAAAAATGTTATACAAGGTTACCATTTGTAAGTAGTTTATATTGGAACCATAAAACCTAGTAAATAAGTACAATTTTTTTCATTGATATTCTACGTTCAATTTGTTAATTATGTTATTAATAGGGCTCATCAATTCATGCTTTGCATGTTTTTCTTGCAACACAGGAAACTGATATACAAATTCGTTACACAACAATAGTAATAAATAGATAACATTTATTTATTTGATAGAGCATGTTTTTGCATATTTTGGTTGTAAGGCATATTTGGCATATAGTAGATTTTTTAGAGTTATTAGAAGATATTCTTTCATAAAAAATATGTTTGAACAAATAAATATTTGATTATTTTTTGTTTCTTATTCATTTTCCAATTTAAAAAATATATTGTATTTGTTTCGATTTTTTTAATTCGTGCAAAACCACAGATTATATAATATACTACAGATTTAATATTAATAATGTAATAATGACAACAAAGTGTTAATCTGTGAAGTTAAGTTATAGAGTGTTATAAAATGTATACAAATTAAAATAAATTAAATTACTATAAAAAAAGGGTTTATTATTTCAAAATTCGGCTATGACTTTTTTATAGTATGAATAATATTCTAAGTACATAATTTAAAAATGTAAGTGCATATAAATGCATAGTTCTGAACTTTTAATGCGTATTTGAATGCATATTTTGGCAATATTTAGGCATGAATGCATACTGGTTTATTCATTTTTCAGTGCATAAACTTACGAGCCCTGGTTATTAGATATTTTAACAAGGAATAATGATTTAAGTTGTTTTGTTGTAACCTCAAAATACTTTTCATATAAATTTGAATTTTTAAAGTATATCAACATTATATTTTATACACACAATTTTCAAATGCTTTGTTTTCGACAAAAATTATTCAAACTTACTATATATTAGTATATTACTAGTAGTTAAATAAATTAGTTTTATATCATCACATAAACTTTGTAATATAGGTTGCTGACTGACACATAGTCTTCGCTCAGAATTATTGTTTTAGCATACAATGATTTTATAAAATTTAATTTTAATTTAACACCCATAACAGTGACCCGCTCGATAAATCAGAGCGGTATCTGTTTGCCCATTTTTTTTCTACAAATTTGTAGGTATATATTTCGGTAAAATGAAAGTGAAATAAGAAACACAATTTTTAGTTTTAAAATAAATTAAGTTCATCGCTTCCTGTGGTTTGATAGTACTTATAAGTTATAGGTATCTTATACACTGTTCAACAATGTTTTTATTTAGGTAATACGATTTTATCAAATGTGCTAACACACGTCATTCCTTTTACAATTTGGTCACTTGTTTTATGTGTTATTATATATAGTATTTATAGGGAGCAAAACAAAATTTTTGAAGTTGTCCTAAGTCACCTGTCTTTTTACGACTGAAATACTATATTTCTCACTGACAAAGGTATAGCTAATATCGAAACAAAAATATATTTTTGGTTAAGCACATTATTAATATAATTAAAGTAACTTTTTAACTATAAAATTTGATTTATTTCCAGAATTTACATTATGTTAAAAAAAATCATAAATGATTTACAGTAAAAAACAATGAATTGAGACATCCTTAATTTTTTAAACAAAATTATTGAATATAAACATAAATGTAATTTAATTTGTGTGTAGTATATACCTACGTACTACGAGTTGGTACATAATATGTTGCCGTAAATTAAATATGTCCTTAAATTTACGGTGGGCCAGCTGATTATCTTTGACCTGCACCATTAAATCTATGAACCAGTGGGTTTTGAACCCAAGTAACCACTGGGGTTCATCGATTGAGGCATCTGACTCGGGTAATAACTGCTCATTCCACTTGGTATCATGTTTTGATAAGTTTGCATATTTGGCATGTAACTTGAAAATCCTGAGGTACTGGGAGGAGAGGCTCCATCTTTAGCAGCTATTGAAGCTTCTGGTGCGGATGCAGATCCAGCAGAACCAGAACTTCCTGGAATTGAACCCATGAAACCACTGGGGTTCATCGATTGAGGCATCTGACTCGGGTAATAACTGCTCATTCCACTTGGTATCATGTTTTGATAATTTTGCATATTTGGCATGTAACTTGAAAATCCTGAGGTACTGGGAGGAGAGGCTCCATCTTTAGCCGCTATTGAAGCTTCTGGTGCGGATGCTGAAGCCGATTCTGTTCCTGCAGCGGCCCCTTGCTGATACGATGATGAGTCTGGCTGGTTTGATGACGGTGGTTTCGGTGATTCAGATGCTCCACCTCCGTAGCCCGGAATCTTGTTCATGTATTCTTTAAATCGAGAGGCCCAATCCGGCGAATCTCTAGCATAGCGATGCGTTGGTATACCTAGTAATATTCAATTTATATAATTAATGAGGTAATATAACTTCACAATTGTTTTAATTCAATATAATTTGTTTTGGTGTTCTTAAGCACATGGAGATAATACAATGATTTTATATTGAATTTGATTTAATAACTCTATGAACTAAAATAAACCAGGGTAGACAAATGGGGAAAAACTGTAAAAAGGAATTGATTAACGTACTTATACTCCACTTAAATTTTAAGGAGAGCAAATGACTTCCCTAGTTTAATGAACTATATTAAACCATGCTTGATATTTTTACTTTTTGTATTGTATTAGAAAATTATGTTTAAATGTTTTATAATATTTTCTTATCGGCAGAGCTCATAAGAGAAGTAAAATATACATATTAGTAGTTAATAAAACTATCACTTTGATAAAAAAATACTAAAAAAAAAACTGCTTCGTTAAATGATTATTATATTTTACTAATTTACCAGCCGTTATCATAATGATATCTTAACAGATATCACATATTATAATACATTTATAACTTACTAATGACAATGAAAAATACAACGAATGGTATCTACCGTTCAATTTAACATTTTAAACCCAAATGACACATCCTATACAGGATTTTTGTTGCGATTAAAATGTAGGTAGTAAGTACGTACTGTGAGATGGCTGGAGAAGCGTCGCCACTGCGAACAGGACGACTGCGATTTTCACGTGCATGACGGTTGTCTTGGAAGGGCACGGAAACAAATAAATAGTACCGCTCGGAATGTGATTCACTGTGATTCGAATGACCGTTAATTGTATTTCGGATCGCAGACCGTGCACGACTGATGTTGGGTTGGCCGGTCATTTTGGATTTATAAAGCGGCCATTCGCCGATGTCTGTTTCCCACACCAGAGTGGTGCCCGTGAGGAATTTGCATAGCATTCGGGGGGGTTGAGCGACTGGGGCCCCATTAACGGCGGTCTGCACAATAATTGTCGAAACAGATAAGACCCAGACGGATTTGCATCCAATGACCCCGTCCCCGTTTGCGGCAACGGTGGTCGTATGTTGACGGGAAATGGCCGGCAATAAATTAGAACCGCGATTACAGCCCCATCGCCGGAAACGCTCTTGTCGCCGCTATCAAATAAGCAATTTATAAGCGACTGGGCGTTTGCGACTCACCCGCACTGTACACTACACTCCGTGAGAGCCGACCGCGTATTTTAAACTTTGCATTATTATTAGGTGCTATTGCCTTGTCGTATAATTATTACTCTACCGATACATAAGACCGCAGCCATCATGTCCGCCAAGAATTTCGCGCTGATCGTGTTGGCGTGCCTCGTCAAGGGTAAGTCCAAACGCCGTAGTAGGTATCTATAATAATTACGGGCGCACTATCGTCGCAGTGTATCATAATAATACGTACCTAATTACGTTTGTAATTAATGGTTTAATTGCACATACTGGTACGCCATCAACACGCCCGACGTTCCGATGATAAAAAATTTAAAAACGTCCTTACGAATTCCGATTTCGATTAAAACAATAGGTGGGAACGCAGTCGAAAATTCCAAATCTGTTTACGAGTTTCGGTTGCTATTTTATTATCACAATAATTATCCGGATCGGGATGTTATACCTATTTTATGTTTCATTAAGCTCACGGTCAATTATTACACACAAACGCGAGTTATCTGACACTGAAGTCGAAAAATATTCTAATAAAATACATTTTTTTAATATACGAGTGATTTATTACAAGTCTCATTGCTTGATTAACCGGTAAATTTCGTCAGTACATCACACCAGTGTGCTCCTATTACTACGCAGTGCTTATATGAACATTTTTGTTATTTCAACTATTCGAACACACCACAAAAGGGCTTAAATTCTGAATTATCGACAATTGTAAAACTTTAGTTCATTATACGAAGTTCTTTGCAGTTGGTCGATATAGCGATACGTTCTGCATACCTAGTTCACGTTAAGACGCATTAAACTGAAATCAAAACGACGTTTGTTTAAATCGTATAATACAATTATTTTACTCTAAACATGTCGAAAACCATAGTGGTGTTGACATTCGTGTACACTGTATTGTATAGCCAAAAAAGTATATTATCATTAAATAATAGTAATAATAATAATAAATAATAATATTATGGTAAATTAACCACACTGAAAAATCTTCGTTCCCGATCAATAGCCTTTCTTGTTTTTGTACCATTGTAAAATTATACAGTAGTATATTATAATATTTAACTTGTTTTTTAGATAGTTAATTTTTTACTGTTTTTCAGACGCTTTTCACGCAGATGCCGCTCCATCAATCACACGCGACGATTTGACTGCTGTGAGTACATTTACCTACTTAATATTAAAATATTGTTGTTTAGTGATTATAATAATGTGTAAGTGTATTGACTATTATTTTTTATTAAGTGATACAATTTAGTAGAGACCACCCACACAAATAGTTTAAGTGTTTTTAAATATTTCAATTACTATGTGTGCGTTGAATGTTTTAAAACCAAAAACAGTTGGTAGGTATATGGTTTATTTATATAATTCGTTGTTCCGACTTAAGACATTTATAGACTTATAGTGTCGTGATGTATAAATTGTGTCAAATAATTATGAAGTCGTCTGATCGGGACATCGAACGGCAGCCCGTAGTTTGTGGTTGCCTAATATAAGTTGCTCGAGTATGTATGTAGGTTTAATATATTATAATATTATGTACTTATTATATTTTTCAATACTTTATCATTTATAACTTTTTTACTGAATTGAAAATACTTCGATATTAAATTCTGTCGTGTCACTTGAGCATGATTTAATATAAAATTACAGTATGATTGTTATGAATTTATTTTTGACCAAATCAACTTCTAAGTTAAAAATAATGTTTGAATAACAGCATATTGAATGTTTAAAGTTATTTGCATGTGCAAAACGTGTCTTTGATTCAATTGAGATTAGCCTTCACGCTAATTTCTTTATCACCTCCATAGTTTTTGTTTTTTGTTTCGATTTTTTGGCATATTATAATTGCAAAATATAATTTTTAAAAACTGATAATTGTATGTTTTTAAAAGTTAATAATATCGTACAAATAAAATAAAATGTAAGAGGCGAAAAATCCAAGATAAAAATAATTTGTGACATTTATAACAATTGATTATTGCACTTAGATATTGTAATTCTGAGACTATTAAAAAGTTAATTTGAAATATTTTGAAAATTAAATAGATACCGGTAAATAATAATAATTTCACATTTCAATGTCATGAAAATATTATCTCATATTTATGACACCATTACTCAGCCATTCTTAAACTATGAAGTTGTTTTGACAACTTAAATTTGTCAATGGTGAAAATTGTTGGTTGCCATTTAAAAAATAACAGTTTAACTTCGCATACGTGGAGCTTAAGTACCTACTTTTATAAAAACAACCGCATAAATATGTGTATTAATTGGTCTCCTAATAAACAAAATAAAAAACACGGTTATAATGATGATAGAACGACTGTGCTATGATGAGATATTGAGTGTTTTCGGAAAGCTCTGTGTATACATAATTTACTTCATAATAAGGTTAATATTGAAATGATTTTTTATAGTTCCAACCACGACCGAAAAAAAAAAAAACGTTTTTCCGTTGTAGGTTTCTGAAAACGATTGCTGTTTGTTTGTATAAATAATTGTTTGATGTACATAGTAAAATACGTGCTGTAAAATATTGCTTACGATTGTGTTCATATATGCCACCCAAAAGCAACTGAACCCCACGATTTTTCATTAAAACGTACTGCCGGTTGTTGTCCAAACATTAAATTATAGGTGTATCGATATTTGACGGTCGTCATTTAAAATTAAAATTATTTAATTAAGCAAGAGCGTGATTGATTCATTAAAATCCACGATCGTATGCTGGAGGGAACTCTTTAAATTGAATACTACGTGTCTGATATTAGATACATGGCACAATTATTATAATCACTATCACAATAATTATTATTATCGAATTCGAAAATACTCGAATATAAATACACTTTTTTTTTATTGAATTCAAATAAAAAATTATAAAAGTGTAAGTACTGTTTTGTTTAGCGGTATGTAGCAAAAAAAAGAAATGTTTATGGATCGCTCATTGTATTAAACGATCTAATCATATAACAACAAAAAGTATTACAGTCGTGCCATTTTTTACTCAAATTCTGTACAAAAACAATAGTGTATTTTCGAGTACGCCAATGCGTCTGGGGCTATAACGATTTAAATTGTTTTCGCCCGGAGTATGATAACCAACAATATAATTCGTAGGCGGTATGTGCCTACCAATAGGCAACAGTGTGTTTTAAAAATATATAACGTCGGTAAACAAAACAGACAGTTGCACCGTCTTAACGTAACTGTTATCAAAAATACACGTACTTTGGATTCTTTCTGACAAAAAAAAAAATACATGTACACTCGTTGACGGAATGATTAGCTCTTCAATCGCTAAATAATTGAATCGCTATCACCGATCATACGACAATATATTCGAACCCTTATCGTAATGGATTTGTAACACTCCGTCATAGAACAAGGAATGTTCCGGAGCAGCGCACATTGCGTACACGTAAAACGGCCGACTATGCATATGCAACAGTTCTGGGTGAACGGCTCCCCCAAGTACACACATACAGTGTGCATAATACACGTATCATAATATATTATTATTCGACCTATCGCCGCAGTTCAATTTATCGTGCGCAATTAATGTGGACAGCGTATATCGCAGAGAAACGAATAGTTAATCAAACAAAAGTATAACGATTTACGGTTCACACTTTTGACTATATATAATATCATACCGATGTTTGATTTCATATTCTGCTATACAATACTCCGACTACTATACGCATACATGGTACAACATATTATTATTGTTTTGACTTGTAACCTGTGATGGTAGTATAATGGTGTACCTGCAACTACTATGCACTGTTGAGAACGTTAAGTTATACGTCAATAGTTAACAAATAATATATAATATTCGCCTCTAAAGTCTCAAGTTAATACCGCTGTGAAAAATACCTAAACCGAGTCAACGTAATATTTAAATAATTTATTTTTAAATGCCACCTGGTTGATTTGTGCAACTTTAAAAACGTTAAATTATATAATTAACATTGTTTAATGAAAAAAACTTTACTGGTCCGACTTAAATACTTCTTCTTATTGCAGACTATAGTATAAGTCTACCTGTAGAGTTTTAGAAAATTATTTTTTTGTTATAATTTTATAATCGTTGTTATATATTCATTAGATCGAGGAACATTAATTTGACTAATTTTTCTATTTAAAACCATTGTATAACAGTGTGATTAAATTAATACATATCAATTAATTCGTTTTAACTGTATATATGTTATAGATCATAATATTAATTGAATGATATTCAAGTGTTATAATTTATATGAAATGAAAATACCTTAAGTTATCTTAATGAATAATTTAATTAGCAAAATTAACAAACTAGTGAAGTTGACAAATTTAAAAATTTAGTTTTAATATCCATTATCTACCTTGCAACTATGTTTAATATATTATAAATAAATGTATTGTGTATTTATGTGTATGTGCGTGTGTATGTTTGTATGCGTGTGTGTGAATTTATAATTGAAACTTCTATGATCTTATATTATTCACGTGTAAAACGCGTTTTTAAATTAACTAGAAGGGATATACGTATTTTTCACATTTCTATAGATAACGAGATCCCATATGACCCGGTAAAAAACCATTATTTACCCTTCCAAGGGCCCACAAAAAATGTTCACTTGGGCCCCCATTTTTATGAAACTGAACTTGCTTAACGGTGAACTTAGTTCAGAGTTTAAGTATTTCGACTCTAGTACGATTTATTTTAAGTTATTTTTCAAATATCATACTCGTACTATGTTTTCACGTTTTCACGTTTTCATTTATTTGTAATTCAAAATAGAAAAGTAGTTGGTGATCTTATCACTATTGTCGATAGCTAACTATTTACGAATTTTTCAGCACGAATATCTCCTTAAAATAAATTTACAAGATGTTTAAAAAGTTCATTCTATCCATTTACTTCAGAAATTACTCAAATAAATCATATAATTAAAATTTGAAGAAAAACAAAATATTTCATTTCCGGCCTGACTTGACGTCACGTGAAATCTATAATAATTTATTTAATAACGTTTGAGTGTAATAAGTTGAAAAATATTGACATTTAACACTTTTACATTCGGCAATATGAGCATTCAAAAATATTTGAGCACAGAGTAATTATTCTTATGTACCAACCTGTCGTTTCAAGCAGTTCCATTGTGGAAAACATAAACGCATAATATTCCAACTTCAAAGTGCTTACTCGTTAAAAATATGTTCAGATTTTATATGAGCACTCGTGTAGGTACAACTTATCCATAACAGTCTTACAATTTTTTTAGTTATTAATCTTTTTAAATACATTTTTACATATTATTACATTTTTAATTTCGTACAAAGTTCGATTTTTAGGTACCAATAAATAGGTGTTATAAAAATTATTAGGTTTAAGTTAAGGTAATATTATAGTATATTTGGATTAAGGTACGTAAAAATGATATTTAAAAAAAATTTACAACTTCAAAATAATGAGTGTAGACACTTAAATAGGTCATCTTGTACAATCTTATGTTCATATCAATATAGCATCTATACAGCACTATACGTCATAATAGGACTTCTAACTACATACTTGGGTAGATCAACATAAATAATTAACAGCAAATATTCCGACCGCACTGGTTACTTTTCCGAAACAAAAACTCTTAAACTCACACACACGCTTAGACACAAACACTCACACACACACAAACACACCAACAAACACGCACACAAACACTTGTGGTGTATTGGCCGCAGGTGTTGCCCGGTTCGCTGGCCGAACTGGTGGACTCGGACGCGTTCGAACGGATCTGGCGGAAGGCCGCCACAGATCAGATGGTCAAGCGGTTCGGGGACGGCGCGGGACGGGACGGTGGCGACGGAGCGATTACGCGCAACATGGTCGGCGACTACATGGGGTCGGACGAGTTCCACAAGGCCGTGTGCAAGGCAGGCGGCTCGGGCATGTCGTCCATGGGCGGCATGATGGGAAACGCGCCGCCCCCGTGGTCGTACATGGGCACGTTCATCGGTTCCGACAAGTTCCAGCACGGTTCGTGCGACATGATGTCGCAGGGCTTGATCCAGTTCAGCGAGGGCATGAACGGATGGTTCCGGTCGGCCGACGCCGAAAGCGAAGCCGCCGCAGTGACCAGGGACCCGCTGCGGGCGGTCGACGCGTTCTTCCGGTCCGAGTACTACGGCGACACGCGGAAAAACCTGCGCGACATGTTCGCGGACCTCCGGTTCTGATCCGTTCAAAATTTCCAAGGCGGATCCACAACTGCTATTATTATATTACGAGATATTCTTACATTAATGTCACAAAATATTATGTTACTGCCAATGTTATCGTCGTCGTCGTCATTACGTCATCACCGCCACACGATAATAAGACATGACACATTTCGACAATAATAATTACCATACATTATGCACTATTTAATACGCACTACTACATTATTATTACAATATTGTCGATTGAGAAAGTCATGATATGATAAAACTGAGGTATATTTTTGAAGCTCATTATAATATTACACATATATTGTACCCATAACTTTACTAATGGGAAAAATGTTATAAATTTAATTGTTTGCTTATAGTATAATATTAATGATGCTTACCTATATATCGCACACCTACCCACGTCAGTCGTTTCTCTACGATCAGCCAAAAACGCATAAAGTGTTTAAAGTTCCGTCGTTTTTTATAGTAAACGAAATATTACATTCTAAACATCGCGACCCATATTATACAATGATAAATTATAATATAATGCTGCACAAAAAAAGTTATAATATGTTGCATTGGTGGCTGAGCAGTGTGCAAATACATTGTATAGGTACCTACCTATGTTATAAGTCACAAGATATTAAATCATCCAGGATTTTATTGTTTTTAGAACTTAAACGACTTTTTGATTCTATTATTGCTTATTGAAGTGTCAAAAAAAATTTTTATAGCTATATAAGTTGTCTAAAAATTCATGTTTATATATTCCTGCAGCTCATGCCTCAACATTTTGAATACTTTTATGAGAGTCATTTACGAAATTAATCGAATATGTATTTCTATAAAATATTTGATTTATTGTTAACTCCCGTGTATCTATATGTTTGATAACAATTGTAAATTATGTTTATGGATTTATTTAATACAATTAAATAAATAAATGTACCTTACAACGTCTAATATTTTCTTCAACATATTTCAGACCATAAATAAATAAACTTTTAAGATCTAATACAGCTATAATAATATTATTAAGTAGAACCGAATTATTTTTATGCTATAAGCAAATCGAGTATCTATCGTAATATTATACTAGTAAATAATATAATTATGTTTATCAATAACTGTGTCAGTAGGTATAATATATTAAAATTTAAATAATAAAAATATGCATAGTGAATTATTATTTAAATAATAAAACTATTAACTTAGATTCTTTGTTATCATAATAAATGCTCCTACATAACAGTATAATCACTTACCTGATACTAATAGAAAGTCTATGAATATAATATAATAATACAATAATTTATATACGTATCTTAAATAATAATGATTGTATCTAAATATTATTAACAGTTAAACCAAGAAGTTTTTTTTTTTTTAAGTACCAACCCTTATATTCATATTTTCATTTAATAATATCATTACTGTATTATTGGTCATCACGAGCTTGGTGCTGAACAGTTTAATATACAGTTGATTTCATGGGATTACGTGTAGGTAGTGTTTTAATAAGAATATAACGATTGACACCGACTATAATGTGTTTTTACTAAATTATAGGCGTCTAAAACAGTCGATGTCGATAACAGAGTACTAACAAAAGAAGATTACGAAAATGAAATCGACGAACCGAACAAGACAGCGTTCGAAAACTTTATTCAAGGGTTGCACAACATTGACTCGGCGATGGAAGCGATGATCGATAATTACACAGACGGGGTTGAGCACCTGAGTGAAGAAACCGCTATGCAGCATATAGACAATGCGAATTTGGACAAGATGGGACGTGAAAAGCAAAAATAAATCAGTGACCGGAGGCTGATAATATTCACAATAATCACAATACAAACAACGATGAAAAAAAATATTTTTATCTATGTCACTAAAATATTATATTATGTAACATTTCGTAATAATATAATATACGCACATTTTCACGAGTAATAGAATAATAGTAGATATAGTTTTTCGTCTACTGCATAATATTATGTTTCTTTTACACCTGCGGAGTATAATTTAATTATTATTTTACTACAATAAAATTGCCCATATTATATAATTTTTGTTATTGTTATTATTATTATTATGTGTGTGTAAATATTCAAGAATGTTATTTTCGCCCATTGTTCCGTGCAGTTATCGCAATGCCAACGAACCTATATATTGTTTTCAGGAAACGGAAGACCAGCGGAAGGCCAACCCAACTGCGGACCAAATCGAAACGCCACTGATCAACAGCGGCGACGATGGAGTGCACTCCTCCTCAACGACGGAAGGCGACATGTTGGCCAAGGGTGCGCTTTCCGGTCTCGTTCCCGGAGGTGGCGGTGGCGGAGCAACTTCGGCCCCGGCCACCAGCACGCCCGCTGCCGGTTCGGGGGGGTCATCACTGCCGTTCGGGGGCCTGCCGACCGGGATTCCCGGGGCCGGGGGACTGCCTTCGTCCTACCTGCAGGGAGGTGGCGATGACCAGAGCGCTAAGCTAATCATTGGTGGGTTTTCCGCCTTAGTAATGCCCATAAACATGGGCAACATGGCGTCGATGCTGTCCGCCGGACAGCAACTGGGTCAGCTGGTGCCCAAACCCGGTGTCGGTTAGACAGTGGCTCACGACCAGCATAACAACCTAACCGTATTATAAAATAGCACACAATTCGCTCGGGGCATTCATCACATTATATAAGTACAATAATATGATACAATAAATACATAAATAACAGTAAAATCAGTCTTGTTTTTTTTTATTTTAATAATTATTACTATCATTAAGGCTGTGAATAACACTTTTTCGATAGCAACAACTCAGAATAAGCACACAAATTTTTTTTATATTTTACTCATAGTTAACACCACGGATGTATTGAGCTTTGATTTTAGTAAAAAAAACATATTATAGGTACTTACCTATCTTTATTTTCAATCCTAGTTGTTCAAGTTGCTGCTATCGGTACCTATAAATACACAATGTATTTCGTATTGTTTTAAAAATAAATTGATTAAATATATAAGGTATTTGTCCATGATTTCGGGTTTGTACCACCAAGGGGGCGGTAGCGTTTAAATATCGTTTCATTTTTCTTACATCGACTGAAGTATATGCGTTCAATCGGGCACGTAAACAGAAAACAATTTCGAGGAAAAGGGGTGGTTGGTGGTCATAAGTAAAAAAAAACAATTCTATTGTTAATGAAATTATTGTAAATTTATCTGGATGACCTTATCGTGGTTAATTATGTGTTTGATTTGGATATGTGATTGATTTTATACTAATCAGGTATATGTAGATTATGTCCATATGAAACATTTTTTGAAAACATTTTGGAGAAGAGAGAAGAAATTTAATATGCTGTTTAAAAATTGTAATGGTAAAATAACCAAAGACAAATAAATTATGAACAATAGTACCTTCAGTGTATGAAATGTTCAATTTTTAGGTAGTTTAAGGATAGGATTTAACTTAAATACTGATATAATGTTCTATGTTTCTTCTATCAATATACGCTCTCTGCATATTTAAGGTTTTGCTTGAACAACATTTAGATCCTATGTTACACGCCACTAAACTTAATAATTGTGAGCGTTGAATTTTGATTTTGCCTCACAATTAATTTCAAAGTTTTGCACAACTGGAGGATACCATACATTATAAGGGATTCCGTGAAACCACATGATATACACTAAAGTCTATAGCCGTAGAGTCCCGATGACATTCTCACCTAGCGAGTATTATTGTACTATTACGTTTAAACTTGTGTTTTTATTCAATTAAAAACTATTGTATTTCAATAATTGGAAATATAACATTTTCAAAAAAAAAAAATTGTAGAAAGAGTATAAAATGTTAAAAGTATAAACGCGACGTCTGCGTATAATAGGAATCGGCGAAACACTTATTATGTATAGGTACGCTATAAATAATGTACAGATCGTATTATACATTTAATTACTGCATAATATATTTAATTATTGTATCATTGATCTGATGATGATCGCCGTCATTGTAGGTTCTTCGTGATGAAATCTGTGTACTTGGCCACGTCCGTGAACACGACGTAGTGTCTAGTGTCACATACCCGCAACCCGTCTTTGGCCACCGTCAGGGACACGATACCTCTCAAGTACCACCTGTGATTCCTTGCAAACACCATGCCGCCGCCACTGTCTCCGTTGCATACGCTTGTGCCTATGAAGATTAAAAATTATTATGTACAACAAAATCCGATCGCTGCAGTAAACCATATTTTGTATATTATGCCGATATATTTGGGCAACATCTCAGGAAATGGACAAGGAATTTTGAAGTATTTTAAATTTTTTTACAATTGTCAATATTAGTTCTTACAATATGAAATTCTTTATATTTACAATAAGGCATTGCTTAGTTTGTAAAATAACCACTCTGTACCCATCATACATTTTATCTACGAGAGATAAAATAAAATTAAACTTTTAGGTGGTCAATAGTGTGAACTATAAATATATGACCTACCCATATAATAATTCAGTAGTTGCACTGCTGCATATTAAATAATATGTTGATCATTTTAATAAGTTTTTTATAAAACAAAATATGTAAGAAATTATACATACAAATATATTATATTGTATTATATTACATTATATTATATTATAATAATTGATCATCAACGTTTAAAACTTTAAACTAATTTTATACCTAACTAATTATAGATATACTATAGAGGAGCAAACAATAAAATATGCATTTTAAATTAATTTCTAACCGTTGCTATTTCTTATTACGCGATTCAACAACTGAATACTATATAAAAAGAGTATAACTTATTACGATATATGGTTTACAACATTCGCGCTCCAATAAAAAAAGTGTACGGCAGAAGCGTCCAAACGGACAAATAGTCAATGTGAAACGTCGGTGTGAAATGACATTTTTTCACATAGTTAATGTATGAAAGGCTTAAAATCTGAATACTGAGCAGATGAGCTATACTTTCTGATGATCAATTAAAGCAGCGTCTTTGTTTGGTAGTTTTCAACTATTCCCCAGATAAGCATTTATGAACTGTTCAATGATATGAAATAACACGTTTCTACACCAACAGTATAGATAATGTTAATTTATTTTGAAATTATTTAGAAATTGAATGTGAAGCACTAATTATTATGTAACTTTACACGTTGTATTATTTATAAAAGTATGTTTTATTGTGATTAAATCTTAAAAATAAAAATAATATTTTTTGTACCCCAATCGATCCTCAAAGAAAGAATATTACATTCTCAGAAATCTTAATCAAAAAAAGTTTGGCCTCCCCTGATCTATATATTATTAAAATGAATCAATTACCGTTTCTGAATCCGGCGCAAAACGTTTTCTCGGATGTGAATTCTGAATAAAATTGTGGATAGCTCCAGAGACAGGTTTGTTGTGAAACGACCGGCATCTTGGCCATTTTCAGTTCTTCAGTCGGAGTATTGTTTTCGTCGAAGCCCCAACCGACAACCTACATTGAGAAAATAAAAAAAAACATTAAAGTAATAATAATCAATCGACAATAATATTATAATTGAATATGAGTACATGATAGATAGCAGTTTTTCATATACTAGTTTAGATATTTAGTAGTAATTTAGATACTTTATTGAATGTAAAAAATTGTACCAATTAACATACAAAAATAGTATAAGTAACCGGTGTAATTCACAAATACTCAATTAACCCTTACGCTGCTCTAGACCTATTATTACGTCCAAAACATTAACACCATTCACTGATCCAGACATCGTACTATAATAATGTACGTCGCTTTATATACATTATAATATTGCTATCTGAATTACCCGTCGCTGCCGGATGACGGTAAAAAAATCAAATAGTTGAATGATTGTATAAGGATGTACCATGTATACATCGTTAGAATAATGTAAATTAATAATGCAATTAATGTATAGGAAAAACATAAAATGGAAAATAATTTAATTTCTTAAGCTTTAATTACATTTATTGATACTATAGATATGTATACGCAAGATATATTTTATACTTGGAAAAACTGTAAATATTTCACCAAAAAAAAAAAAAACATAAACAAATGAATTTCAACAAAATGTGTGTATTATTATTATAGAATTTCTTTATAAACTATATTCATTGTACTTTTTTGTTGTTTGGTATTATTTGTATTGTTAACTTTTCAAAATATCTAACTCTGGATATGGCAACACAAAGTTGACTAAGACTAAACACAGGTTGGGGTAAATAGAAACGGAGAATATTTAATACAGTTTTGTATTGTAAGCTGTCTAGATCCATGTGAGACAACTGGTAAAACTTGTCTTTATACTTAACTTTATACTTCGAATAATTATTTAAACAATTATTTTTTTGGACTTTTCTCTTTTCATGGCTCATCTATACATCGGGTACTTTCGTTAGAAAAAGAAATCATGATAATCGGTCAAGTGGAACTTCAAATATCGCCTCACATTTTAATAATGTGTTTTAGGAAAACCTGGATCCCATTATTTTAAATTTAAAAAATAGATCATATAGATGTTAGAATAAAAATTTAAAAAAAATGTAGATAGTTACAAAAATTGTATTTTATGTAAAAAAGACAGTGTTTTATGCAGAGCACAAAATATAGTATACCAGCGAAAAGGTTAATTAGTGATGTTCAAAACTAGTATAATGAAAAATGATACATAATAGGTAAAAAAAATTGTTCTTACTGTCCCTTCTTTGTCAACGATGTCTTCCAAATTATCGGGTCTCTCTTCCCAAATACACACCGGCGTTACATAGTTTGTAAATTCGGCGTCCGAAGACAACGTCAATATAGCTATGTCTCCGAAGTATGAGCTTCTGTTGTAAGACGGGTACACTTTTATCCGGATGACCTGTGGAGGAGAAAAAATCGGTGTGTTATAGACAAAGAAAATGTGGCTGATAGACCCGAGGGACTTGGATCCGACAGTTCCGTTCACATCACCTGTTTGATCTGCACTCCCAGCTCGTCGCTGTACTGGAGCTGATGGTATTTTCCGAGGTAGACGACTATTTTGGTTGAGTTGAGGACTGCGTCGTTAAGTTTCTGTGTCACGCAGTGAGCGGCTGTAAAAATGTAAATATAATATATTATTTAATAATAATATATTATCTCATAATAAATTAATATTCGAAAATTTAAGGCTATTGGTTCGATAGTTTTGGAAATTATAATTTAAGAAAAAAAAAATACGTGAATATAATATATATTATAGTTTGAGATAAATGTATACAGTGAAATAAAAAACCTAATAGATACCTAAATTTTAAAATAATTGCATTTTATAGTTTAGTACTTAATAGTTCCTATATATGTTATAGATAAAAATAATATAGCTTCTGCAAACGTAGAACATCATAATCTGGTGCCAATATTATGATAATTATAGTCACAGGCCACTCAAATAATTTTGTTCCACCATAATTATATTCGATTTTTTTATGCGTACAAATATCTAATTGAATTTTTAAAGGTGAGGTATTGAACTTCTTACGGCTTATTGATATGCCTGATCTTCTTTTGCATATTATTATACGCTTAAGGCAGACGCAGAAATTAATCTTACAATATTCCATACCCGCAGAAATGTGAATTTGGCTTTGAAATATTTGATTGAAGACCGGAATGCAAATTTTTAGGTGGGTGGAAGGTAACACCAATAGCATTTAATACTCTTATCGGAAGTACCTATTAACCGGTTTAAACCACGCAGCTTACCCGTGATGACTTTGTTTTTGGACACCAGTGACCCACCGCAATGATAGCTCAAGTTTATGCCTTCGATCAGGTAAAGTGCCACGTGCCAGGGCCATTGTCCCCTTTTCGTAGATTGGCCAGAAGTCACCAGCGGCACTACCATCTTGACTTCGCCACACGACGGGGAATTGGACGAGAGCGAGTTGACGGATGAGCTGTGAATAAAAATTTAAGACCTTAAAAAACGTTTTAAAAATTATATTTCTAACGGGATTTTTAAAGGATAAGTATAATAGTAATATTGGAAAAAATACTCGAAATGTTGGTTTCGAAAAATTTTAAAAAGTATTTATTGCTCGAAACTTCGATATAGATGAGTACCTTTCTCTAAACTAGCTGTAATATCATCGAATGATTATATTGACGTTGATACTATTGCTTTCGTGTCCGAAATAATAGTAAATTACTATTTTCTCTAAAATTAAGACTTTACTCAGAATTTATAAGAAAGATCACTTTACATTCGCCCCTAAGTAACTTAAACAGAATGGATTTGATACCAACCATTATTTTTCGGAGAGTTAAATGTAGGTGATTTTCTATGTATGCATGTATGTATGTATGTATGTATGTATGTATGAATGAATGTTTGTGTGTAGTACCTAACTCATTATTTAATTTGTGTTGCTGTGGTGTAAAAAATATAAGTAGCCTATGTTGGGTTAAGTACTTAAGTATTTTTAAATTTGATGCATGAGGCTTACTGGAGATTGATGAATGATGATACTACATTTTTCATTCGTTTCGTATACTCACATGCTCACTGTTTAAAAATGCACACATTTTAAGAATATTTAAAAATCGAATTGTACGCGAAAATATGAAACAACATTTGAAAAAAAGTGATTGGTCAATCTGTCATCTTCAGTGAACTGTATAACGAGTTAAACGAATTATTTGATTTCTTATTGAATTACTAAAACGTTATTGATACAACAGATAGATACAGTATGGGTATTATTATTTCGTAAAAAAAAAACTATTGGTATAATATGACGTTAGTATCACTCATCTTCAATGAGGGCCAAAAAAATGTCATCCTAAATTTTAATAATGGACTATCATCGGGAACTACATTAAGACAACGTTTATCGTAAGTAATACATGGCGATCGTGGCACATTATCCTCGTCCCCTGTCCTCCTCCGGAAGAGGTAGTGATCCACCCATAAGGTAAATAATATACGATTATCACAATAATATAAACGGTGTATCGTTTCCATGCGATATCGTGGCCAATTCTATAACCACGATCTCGTAACCAACCCGGTATAAGATCCACTGCTCCCGCCGCCGCTGACCTGTTGATTGTTGTTATTGTTACTGCTGGGCTTTTGGCCGGTTTGCTGACCGGACGGTCTGTTATTGACATTATTCGGCCTCGTCGTACTGCCTCCGTCCGTGGTCGTTGGTCGCCCACCATTACCCGAACCGCCGTTCGGCCGGTTATTTTGGTTGTCGATAACGGTTATGATGACGGTTTTGTTGCTGCTGTTCTGGTTCTGCAACAGCCCGTTAATGACCCCGTTTATGTCGCTGTTCGGGTCGGTGCTGCTGGCCTGCAACGTTACCGTGTTTGGCCTGTTATTGTTACCCTGTTCATAGGGATTTCGAGGTGCCGAAGTCGTAGTCGTAGTCGTCGTTATCGGCCCCCTGTTGGTCTTCCGGGTCGTGTACTGTCCTTCCGTCGACGTGGTAATCGGACGACTGTCCTGCGGCGAATAGTCCGATCCTGAAGGTCTGTTCGGGTTTTCCTTGTCGTGGTTGTTATTGCTACTTTCCGAATACTCGTCCACGTCAACGCCGAACTCGGGATCCGGTCTCTTGGTGCTCTGAGGCCTTTGTGATGGCCGGGATTCCTCCTCGTACCCAGAACTGTAGCCTGTGATGGCGAAAAAAGGTGTTTAGTATATTATAATACAAAATACACAATAAAGGTCTTATAGTAAATAACCAAAAAAATACTATACTTTTGATTTCTCAATCCCTCCTCCCCACAAAAAAAGATCAATAGGCATTTCTGGAGTAAATAACAGAAAAATATCTAACATTTTTTCATGTTAGATCACAAGTTAGCTATTCGTACACCTTAATATTTTTAAAAATTAATCAATGCGTATTCTGTATTATTATTTATTGGCATATAACATTTATTAACTATTTATAACCTGTATAACAAATATGAAATAATTAGGTTTAATTATTAGTTATTACTATTTACCACGTATGAGTGTATAATTTGTGCTTAGTCGTTTTGGTATATCTAATTAATCATCGTTGGTGACTTTGATTTAACAGAATTTTTAAATAAAATGTATGATTTACCATACAGAATAATAAGAATTGCAAAGAGAATTATCAAGTTAAGTAGTATACACATTTTAAATATGAACCGTGAAAAATATTGACAAGATTGAATTGAAATACAAGTAGGTAATCAATATTTTACCCTACATAAATACCTTTAAATTGATTGGTTACCTAACCTACCCAAGAATTTACTATTAAGTGTCTCACTACTGGTTTTTAAAAAAAATATATTGGTTACCAAAATGTTACTAATAATTTAAAGTTAGACGTTATTTCCTAGAGTAATTGACATCAGTATGTTTATCAATTTTAACACATTGTTTAAGGTATCACATTCGCATATTTTACATCGTTACATTGAGAGTTGATACATATATCCATTCGTATATCTATTTTTTTTACAGAAAAAGACTTAGTAAATATATAGCAAGGATCTCACAAGAGTGGAGAAAAAATAAGAGATAAACAAAAACTTTAAATTTTAAAAACAGACAATATTATTATTATGTAGAATATAATTGCAAAAATAAATAAAAAACAATATACTAAACTATTTGTCGTGGTTTATACTTATTGACTAATATTTTTATGTATTGAAACCTTGTATTTATCCCAAAGTCAAATTTTCGAATTTCATCTTCTAAAACTTGTATTTTATTTCTAATTTTCTTCCAGTGTGGTATTACTATATTGGAACTTCTGTACTTAATTTATATTACGACAATTAAGACGTTAGACTAAATTCAATAAATATTTATTTTTAGACTAGGTTAGGTTGACGCCGTAAAACTAAACGCTTATAATATGAGAGACCCTGGTTAAATAATAATATTTTATAGTTGAAGGAGCCAATTAAAATATACATTTTCAGAAGCCAATTCAAGGGTCAAATTTATATTTATTGAAAATTGGGAGCCAATTCAATGTTAGCCAAAAATATAAATGTAGGAACAAAACTAGTTAACAAATAATGAAATTTTGTAAAGTTTGAGAATTTATAAATGTATTACGTAAGAGCCTTACAAAATATGTTTTCAAGGGTGTAGCGAGCTGCTTTTTGCATATTATAAATCATATTTTAAAAAAACAGGTTTTTAATATAAAAGTTCACTCACTGGTATCTTCAGGGCAGATCTTACGGCCATTGAGTCGGATGAACCGCAATTTAGGACTGCCCGTCGACCGGTTGAACTTGACCATGATCCTAGATAGTACCGGAGGCCCGGGCTTCAGTTTTTGGTTCAAGTTCAACACTGTGAATTTCACATTGTCACTTGTCGTTATCTCTCCCATCCAAGACTGAAAACGAATAAAAGGCGTAAAAATTTTATAGTATGATATTGTCTTCAAATTATCATCGCAACAAAATTAGTTTGTGACCTTATCCAAAGATATTTGGAACTTAAACAATCGCAGAGTGTTTTAAAATACCGTAGATTCTATTGATTCTAATGATTCTATGACGCCATCTATTGTTCAAATCATGTAGAGTAAACACGAATGAATAAATGTTCTTTCTCCGTGCTATGATATAAATCCATTATAATTTTAAATCCACTTGTTTATTTTTTAAATATTTATAAGCATCATTTAACATTTTCCAATATTTTTGATGTGTTAAGTACAACTAGATATGTTTATCGGTATATATATACCTACTCTAAATAACTTACGGTACTTTAAATAATACTATATTAAATCGAAACTTATGCATCCACTTTAAGTCATAGGCGGGAGAGCATATAAACATGGAATGTAAATTAAATTATAAGCCCTAACTACATAGTATCTATATTAGGTATATAATATTACGCATGTATTACGTAATAACAGTAGTAACATTGATAAATATTAAATTACATTAATTAATATTATTGTACAGCAAACAAAACTGCAATGATTTATACAAGACACTGTATAAGGTGTGGTGCACTTAAATAATTGAGCACGGAAACTCAAACCCAACGGCAAACCTAACCAATGCTAGTCCTAGTCCAATGCCTTTAGACTTTAGATATTATACTATATACAAAACTTACTACCATCAAATCTGAAGGCCGGTCTAGTTCGACGTCCAGTCGGATTCCCACAAGGCTCTCGTCAGTTCGCAGCGATATCTCGCCATACCACCTGTTGTTCTCTGGTTCCGAGCCTTCGTAAGTGAATATGTCCGGACAAGGCGACGGTGGATGGGGGGCGGCCGAAGACGAACGAACCAACAGCATCCATGCAAACGACAACAATCCACAGATCGATAATGGCTGCTAATCTCGCGGGAGATAGAATGGAACAACAAAAATGTATCATTGGAATTGACAAAGATGTGTAAAAGTTACAATAACATTGAGTTGATTACTGTTTATTATTTGACATTCTGACGTACCATTTTTTTTAGGCTATAGGAGTGTTATTATTTACAATTCGTCCCTCCTCCTTAGATGTATTTTTACACTATTATTGTGACAATATTGAGGCTGTCAAATTGGCACCGGACTGAACTACCGGAGTTTTTGTAGTCGTTTTCGTGGCGCAGATTTTACGCATGAACATCTCACTCGGATTTCTGTCCCAGTTTAGGTCCAAAACGATCCACCCGCGCTTTCGGTCGATCTGTAAGCACCACTGTTAGACTAAAAGATTTTTATAAGACTGCCATTCCCACTTAAATCTTCGGCAACATTTTCAAAAACGTAATATAAGTATTGATAAATTCAAAAAATAACAAAATAAGTGCATTTTTAAATCTGAGGTTCTGTACGAAAAATACTTTGTTTTCTTCTAAATTAAAAATAAAATACTTACATCGTTGTAATGCCCTGTAATTTCTTCTTTGCTCCGGTCAGGATCTAAAATAATATAATCACTTATTTAAATTTACTGCCATGTTGGGACGCCGAAGCCCGAAGGACGACTGCTTATGTTTATTTCTGCATTGTAGGTATATTATTATTTCTTCGTTTATACGTAACTAGTGGTTAAACAGCAGATTTGACATGAATATCACAATAATAATTACTAACCTACTACTTAAAAATTATAAGTATACAATACATAGTATTTTTTCGATGTTTAGTTAATTAAAATACACTCAATTTAAAAAAAAAATACTATGTACCTACCTATACGGCTATACCTATATTTCAGACTGTAAAGCTGATTATATTATACATATTTTGAAACAATTAAAATACCAAACTCTCCATCAAAACTTGAGAGTTTCTTAATAATAATATATGAATAGGCATAACGATTTTAAATCATTCTAAAAATTTAATTAATTATCGACATATTAATGAAAAAGTTAAAATTATGATGCAACGTCACAATTTCGCCGTGTTTGTGTTTAATTTATTATAACGCATTATTTTTTACCGGAAATACTCAGTGTGTATATTTGCAATAAATATAAATAATATTTAGATTTTTGACATTTTTAATTTTGATTTTGAAATGTACTTATTTTGGGGAGTTAAATTCGGAAAAGCATCTGAGTACTTATTGGTGAAAATTAAAAATGTGATCGTGCAGTATAAAAGATTGAGAATCACTGGCTTGGATTATTGTTTTGAATACTAAAAATTGTGAAATTCATGTCACGATAAACAAAAAGTAGGTATAATCTAACTATAGAAACTAGAAAAAAATAATCTCACAATTATTATTCACCACGCTCAATTCTCTGTATTTAAACGTCTTTAAAATCAATGTTATGGCGTAAACGTATTAGGAGTACCTACCGATCATAAATTCGATTTAAAACAGATTGATAATTAAAATGCATTACGTAGTTTACCTTCAAATTATCATATATATAGCTCCCATACGTATACGGTAAAAGATACATTGACATTAGCGAACATCATATGTTGTAAACGCGGGTATCGAGTTAATATTTTTTTCGTTTTGTATAATGTATAATATAGTTAATAATGAATGCTTTACTTATCACAATCATTGATTAAAATATTATGAATGCTTAAATATAATAATAATCAAACATACACAGAGCAATCACTGCTTATTAATAGCGTTAATAAACACAAATTATGTACATATGATGTTTTTACATAAGTGCATATTATTATGCGTGTAATGTAGGTACCCATTACCTATTTAAGTGACGATTTCATATAATCTGGTTTTGAACCATTGCTTTATTTATAGAAGTGACTTTTTATGAAATCTCAAAACACTAATTTGTATTCAATCTTTGAAAGGTTTCCTCTCCTCCCACAAGACGGAAGGTTTCCATACTGGTGGGCCTCTTTCCACACATAATTTTATGTTGTTTCTTTGTCTACCAAATTCAACTTTTTGTACATGAAAATTACAGATTGTCAATATACCTTTGTTTGATTTAAAAAAGGTTTTTAATTTTTTTTTTTCTATATACATAATAGTAGTATCAAGTGCATAAGGTTAACGCCATTTATTTATAATATACATGTATATATAAGCCAACATAGGGTAGTCTTTCCCCTGCTCGGTCCACTTTCCAACCACCCTTAGGATTTTCCATAGAAATAATAAATGTGTGAAATAACTAAAAAATCCCTTCGGATGTTGTATCTAATAATTGTATTCATTAAATACTTTAATACTCTTAAAGTCATAATTGATATTATTATTTTTTTACTCAGTAATTATAGAACCCTGGAAAATCTTTTTGAAACTTTTTAATAGATATAATATTTATTATATGTGGCAGGTACGCACATTTAAGCTATTTGTTACACTGCATATTATAAACCCTAAATTAATACAAAATATAGGTACAGTTGATTCTAAATAACTCGAATTTTAACTCAAAAAATCTATATAATTTATTTTTATTCGAGATTCGAGCTATTGAGACTCGATTTGACACTCGACTGTATAATGACTAGACGGGTTAAAGTGCGCTTTTGTTACATTACCAGATTACCAACATGGCTACACAAAATATTTCCATCGAAATTGGAAATATTATAATACATTACTTAAATAAAGTGTAATATAGTTGTATATTATACTGAAAGATGTAAATTATGTTTATTAATTACCTACTCAGCTACTCTACTCTAATAAACATATTTGATAGACTCTTTAATTAAATTACAAAATATTTAATATTATGTACATTGATTATGCTGCAGTTAAAAACGATTTATATTGTACGTGTGGGTTTTTTTTCAGTTTGAACGAATTTCACGGCTATTATTATTATTACACAAATTACAATCGATTGTACCTCAGTATCTGTTCATTAATTATTAGTTATTACATAATAATATTAGGTACCTACTACCTAGTATAAATTCCGATCAAATATAAACGAACCACGTCTTCATTATTATACTGTTCACACTGAACGTAATTGTATATATTATACAGTATTGTGCAAAACAAAAATCTATTAACTGATCATATAGCCGTATAGGTATAAATAAGATTATTTACTTCTAATACTTTATAATTGATAGAATTCAATAAATATTCATTCGTCACATTTGTAAGTACTAGCTATACAGTATATTGTATTATTATTACATACTTAGGTATTTATATAAATTAATAAATTATATTAAAATATTTATTAATTTTAATTTTGAAATTACATGTATGCATTTACGTTTAATATAAACTTTCATTGGAAAATTTTTTTTTGCATCAAAAATTATTTTCAAACATTATAAACAACAAGGTAGGTAGTTGATAGTTAAAATATGAAAAATATAAAGGTAATAAATACTAATAGACTTGTAACACTCAATCGGCTATAATAATAATATACTTGAATACAATAATTTAATCCAACGGTAGGGTTACAATTTTATTTGTTTTCCCATGCCAGATTATCAACAACATTTTTCAATGATGTATATTTTGTGTTGACACAATATTTCAATATTATGTAGCATAGAGATTTCTGATTAGTGAAGTATGATTAAGGGGATCGGAAGTTTGCATTGACAATCATTGCATTTATCAGACACGCAACACTCGAATTTATTGTCATACTATATAACACTATATCCAATGGAAATAAAATAAAGGCTACTTTAGTAGTATTAGGTAGAGAATCTAAAAAAATACAATCACATAAACAATAATCTAGTAATGAATAATATATTTTTTAGTAGGTATTTGTAGTAACTTTTTACCCGAAGTCGGTACAATTGAAACTTCATCCATATAATATACTCTTTATAGATATCCATTCAGAATTTTGAATGCACTGTAGCATTTTGATTTTAATTCACCGTATAATCTATTATAGTATTAGGCACTCGAAATAAAAATGTCTATTCTTTTTTGTTCATATTTTTCAACCCCATTTATTTGCTCCACGAAAACGGAGTCAAACGATTTGGGTACTTTAAAATGTTATATTAGTATACTCACTAGTCATGCTATTAAAATTAAAGATGTAGGATAGTCCTTCTCCAGCAAACGAAGATTTCAAATATGTTTTCGAAATCTTTTCGTATCACTATACCTAGTAAAATAGATAGTGGACCGAGAAATCGAATTCGCAACTAGTCTTCAATAATAACTTCTTCGTGTTTGATATACAACATTAGCTGATTAGTATATACAGAAAAAATTGATCTGGTGGGCGGCTTTGAAGATAATCGATAATTAAACATACATCCAATGGGGTGATATTTAGCTGATTTTTTTGGAGCGACTAGCATGTTTCAAAGTAAAGTGACCTACCATCTACGTCTTAATTAGGCACTATTTGCAATTTTACATGATCCATGGGTACTATATACAAGATGTATGCAATTCCATTTCGGGTGGAGATAAGTCCCCAAAAAGTCCCCCCTGATGTCTACCTACAAACACACCAACCCGTTATTAAATTTTTCGATTCGGTTTACCCACCTACTGTAGTTGATAAAATATGACGTTTAGAGTAAACTATATAACAATATATAATTAGGATAAATATTTTTATGGACAATCCAAATAATAATAATATTGTTACATTCAATATTACGTACAGGTGCATGCTATAGTGAGTTCCTGACAGGTTACGGCAGATTTAAACTTTAAAGGATTAACCACAGTGTATTTAATTCAATAAAATATAAAAACCTAAATCAAATCATAGATAGGTACCTAAATATTTAAAATTCTAAAATATGTAGGTACCTACATCTTCCGTTTTATTGGAATCACTATTCACTATTTACATTTTACCAGATAATCATTTCGTTTTTATGGTGTCTTTTAACAGACAAAAATATTACAGCTTATTATATGCAAACAATTAACACCCAGACAGTTTTCAATTGTGACAATAAATACAGATGGTAAACCATTATTTAAATACAATTCACCTTAAAAAGAGGTATAAACTATAATCAGGTATAAGTAACATTGTAGATTTTTACTAATCTACCTACTCATGTACCTAGCTGTGTTTCGATTTTATAGATTAGTATGGAAAATTAATTACGCTAAAGTTAAATCAACTATGTTATTATATTTTGCTGATAATATTTTTTTTTCCGATAATAATATGTTTAGTTTGTTTTATGTTTATCAAATGTTGATGAAGATTCCTATTTAAAGAGGTACCTAAAGGGTAATTAAAAATATATAAATGTTTCGTCAAAATTTCCTATGATGTAGTATGTACATATTATTAAGCGGAACTCACTCTACACTTTAAATGCATTATTATGTATTAATCTTACTCTGCACGCGTCACTTATACATAATAATATAGATAATTTACATTTGAGTATTCATGAGTTTGAGGATTGTTAGAATAGTATAATGTATGTACGTATAATGTATGTACTTATGTCCATAACTGAAAAACGCAATAACAATTAAGACTTTAGGCAGATAGTGTAATAATTAAACAGCAATTTCGAACAAACGCAAATGGAATGCCAATCGGTTTTATCGGTTTACCTACAAAACGATATTATTAATATGTATAGGTACTGGCAATACAACTGTCTACTAATGTACTAAAATATATGTGTAATAAGTCAGATATATTATAATATAGGTGTAGACAAATTCGAACATCTGTTATCTGTACAATATTTTTTTGAACGGCGAACAATGATGGTATGAACTTGAGATGTAAAATGTACATGTATTTTTTGTTGGTAATTTATAATATGAATTTACAGTAAATCAGTAAATTTTGAATTTTCCTGTAACGTATGCACAAGGACACTCAGAAACTTAAAAATAAATTTGAAAAATAAACTTTAATAATTAAGTATAGGCACAGGTAATTATTTTAGAATTATCATAACTTTATAGGTTCTTTGATACTTCTTTCAATAGATATTATAAATAATGTAATAGAAACATAATAGTAAGGTATAATAAAAGTAAAATTATGTGGCGGGGGCATGTTGCAGTCTGAAAATCAGTTGAGCAGAGAATGGATTTAATAATTTTTATTTATTTCACAATTTAAATTATTGATATAATAATAGAATTATCATATGGTGTATCCTTAATGTTAAAACGTTTCATTGTATACTATACCAACCGTGTTCGTGTTATACGTTATACTTATTAACCTTGCAAAGTTGTAATGATGTTTGATTTGAGAAGTCCACGGGTCTGTCACTTCGTATTTATTTTTTTCAAGAAAAAAATGTTTTTTTTGTAATAAATTGTGTGTATCCGTCTGTATCCACTTGTTCATCCATCAAGTACAAATGTAAATGTGCATATATTTTGTTAAAATCGAATGATGCGCCATGTGCCTCATTTTCTATGTACCTACTATAAGAAGTCTTCTAACTTTTACTTGGATACGTATGTACCTATCTATGTAGGAATATGGTTCAATGTGGGGAGTCGCCTTGGGGGGCTTGGGGGTGATTAGTACCATCATTATTGATGCTTATTGTAGAGCAACTGAAAAATTAAGGGGCTTCAGCTCCCCCCAGATTTTTTTATTACAATTGTTCTGTATGTGACTATTACCATTCATTCTTAGTTTAACTAACCTTAAGATATCTGAACGTACTTATTGACACTCCGTTTCATTCTATGTTCCTCCTTCCAACTCTAATTGTTTAGCCAACAAACTCATTATAAGGTTGTAAAGGTAGGTACAAATGTACAAATATACCTACTATGTATATAAATACATAATGTATTTACACATTTGTTAAAGGTTTCCTAAACGAAAAATTGTAGGGAATGATAGTAAAAAACATTTATGTTATAATAAGTTATGAAATTGAAAAACTCTAGCAATGTGCCTAGTGTACTTAATTCAAAATGAAGAAATAAAATATATACCTAAAATTGGTCGGGGTGTAGGAAATTACTCTCAATAATTGATAAAAACTTGATAAAAATATGAGGTGTTTAACGTTTGTTAATATTTATTCAGTTTTTTCACTCTTCTGAACAATAAATTGGTAAAATGTTGATACGTGGTAGTGTCATTAGTGTAACGATACCTAAATACCTACCGCATTTGCCCACCCATTAGTTAGTACTTACCTACTACCCCATGCAGATGTGACAAATGAATATAGCAATAATAAATCATACAAAATATAATAAGTACGTATACCTATTTACAATATTAGGTATACGTATTGAACACATACCTATATGGTTGCGGAGACGAATCGCTAGCACTTGGGTTTTCAGCGGTGGCGATACAGCTGTACTTTAAAACGTAATAACAATTAACAATAATATTTAAGTCGACGAAAATAATGGCACAACACTTTAACTGGAATTCGAGACGTTAAATCGCATCGAACGCGTAATCCCAAAACTAAACGTTTGATCATTTATTGGTAACCAACAACGATATGCACGCGTCACACACGTCTAGACTATACCACGATATACCTAGGTATACCAAACTATATTATTATTATAATATATTATAATTTATTGGTCGGTCGGTCGGTAGCTACGCCAACTGCGGTCCGGTTGCGACTGCTCCTGGCTTCTCGGCACTGCCGCACGTTTCTTACGCGAAACGATAGCGAGTGACCGTGTATAGGTAGGTACATACAACACAACAACAATAATAATATTATGAAGGCGTTGATGATGATAATTATCATAAAGATGATAGTGACTATTATACATCGTTAATGTTACCTATTATTGTTATTAATATTAGAATTCCGGAAACTCGATTGTCCGCAGCAGGCATATAGTTTTAAAAGGGAAGGGAATTGTATATAATTTAAGTCCAAAAACTCGTTTTCCCCACCGCAACGTCCAACGACTATAATAATATTGTAGTTGTTGCTGGATGGGGATCACTAAAATGAATTAAATTTTAGTGAAATAAGCTACGCAAACATCATGATATAATTTTGATTCAATATACAGAGTGAATCTTTTAATAGTGAACACTATAATTTCCTCGAAAACGTTTAACGTTTTTGGAAATATATTTTGTTTTTCCGAGACCATGTGAAGTCACAAACCACGTTTTTTTTTAAATATATATATAATATATTTTATCCACTTTTTTAAGTTTTTCGCTTTTATAAATATCAACCATAGCAACAATAGGTAGGAACAGTATGCATTTTTAATGTACAGTACTGCGAGTACAGATTGCTTGATAGTAGTAGAGAGTTGATAAGTTATAACTTATAACTTATAAGTGTATATAATTTTAAGATTAGATGAGCGGAGTGGAATGGCCAGGGTTACCCGCAAAATGTTTGTTCACCACTCCATTCATGAAAAGCACTTACTCGTTCGAAATAAGATTTTATATTTTTATACTGCTACCTACATCAAATATTTTGGAAAAATATTCTGTTTTCCAAAGCAGAATATGGAGTAAAAAAAGTATGCCATAACTTGAAAAGAAGTTAAAAATAATTTGTTTTCAAAATTTTTGTTTTGCTGTGAATTTAAATTATGAAAAAACAAACAATACTTTCAAAAACGTTAATACTTTTCGAAAAATAAGTGTTTACCTTTAACAGAATCACCTTGAATAATACAGTGGCCGCGACATCGGCGTCACGTGTTGGACGAACAAATTGTTTGTTCTACGATTAATTCCCTCGGTAGGTACACTGATACAGTATATGCTATACTAATACGTTTTTTGTGAAAACTTAACCTTATATATTATAACTGTACCTACCTCTCTCTCTCCCCTCCAGTGCACCTACCAACAATATTTGCCATTCGGAACTCTCGTTGAAATAGGCGTTGTTTAGTTTATTTTGATGTGTTTCACCCAATTTTAGACCAAAGCATCGTGATGGTTCGCTTATGGTTGTCTTGCTCAGTTGAATTATACATGTCTCAATATATAGGTATATAATACCTATATTGGCTAAATTATAAGATATAACTAATAAGTTTATGACGTTATTAAAACGAGAAACGTGCAGCGATACGCCTTAAAGCTTTGATCACATGTGGTGTGGGGAGGGGCTAAGTGCTATTTAGTTGTGTCTATGGTCTTGTTGTTGTTATTGTGTGTTTATAAAGTACCTATAGGACAGCAAAACAATGAACCTACCAACAAATTATTGTACTATAGTATACTTATAGGTATTTTATTTGTATTGATAAATAAGACGATTGTAAACTGTAGTAAACTATAATAAACTATTAATATATTATTAATGAGAAACGATACGCGTCGAACACAAAACGAGAAGTCTGCAGAATGAGTCACGGCGGTAAATCCAAATGGTGGCTCAAGGTTCATTTAATTATTATTTTTTTTTTTATGGTGATGTAAAGTTGTAATCGTACGGACTATCCATTTTTTCGATTATTTAGATCAGGGATCTTTAACCTTTTAGGCGGCGGACCACCATTTATTTTTATAAATCACATTTATAATCGTAACACATATTATATAATAATTAAAAATGTATTGAAAGTACATGGGTACTATGCTTAAAATGACGTGTTTGTAGAGTAGTTTCTACTTTTCTAGTATAGACTTCCATTTAATATATCTTTAATCGTGGTATAGACAAGGTGGACCGCGGGTTGGAGACCCCTGATCTAAATGATAAAAGCTTAGACTGGTATCGGGTCATTGGCTGATGAAGGTGTAAAGAAGTTTTGAATTCACTAACCACTATTTTATTACCTATATAATATTTCAATGTTTAGTATTGTATAGTAGCAATTCTCAACCAGTGCCCCGCAGTGGAGCACGGGAAACCTAATAACAACTGTTTAAAAGGGATGTGTTTTGAAGTGGTAGGTAGGTAGGTAGGTACATGGCAATCTTAAAGATTTGAAGGTAGTAAGTGTGGTACGTAAGGCTGATCAGGCTAAGTGCATGCAAACAACTCTAATTTTTATATTTTAAGCTGTTAAAATATTTTCAATATTTACAAACGATTGTCCACATTAAAATATCCAATATGGAAATTCACAAATGTATATAATATAGGCAATATTATTAAATTGATTTGGCAAATAATACAAGGTTAAATTTATAATGCTTTATTTGTAGTATGTACCAACTAGTAGTATAAAAAGTTTTTTTTTGATTTGAAACCTTGTAGCTGGTACGTATAACTCTTTAAATAATTAGGAGTCGTTTCTTTGATTTTCATAAATGGAATATGAATAAAAAATAATAATATAGAAATAACGTATATTGTTATTTTTTTATAAATATGTAAAAAATTCAACAATAAATTAAGAAAATAATTACTTTAAATATATTCCAGGAAGTATAACAATGGTTTAAACCACAGCTATAGATAATATTAATATATTTTATCTAAAGCTGTACTTTAAGTAAAGCATTTTAGTATTTGTTTACCTATACATATTACATACAAACTTTTATCACACAATAATATGTTAACAAAAAAAAATATATAAAGTATCATTTGAAAAACAAAATTAATAATAATTAAAACTTAAGATTTATATTATTGTCAATTAATTCAATTTATAGATAGTTGATTCAAAGTTAATACCAGACAATATATTCACCAATGACCAAACATATGGACTGAAAAATTCCTCAGGTTTCTCTTCTTCCACATACTTGAATTTAAGATCTGGGAATTTCTACAAAAAACACAATTAATGATTAAAATTGTTTTTTTGGAAAACTTATGACAATTATAACTACATAAATGTTACAATTATACCTTCATAAGGTCCCTGGGCCATTGAAGGGACCAATGTTGCACTCGGGACAACATTGTATTTACGTCAGATGAATTCAATAATTCTTCTTCACGCTCGAGTTTTGCCGAAAAGAATGTTATGACCATATCTATGTTCTGGATAACATCATGGAATGCTTCATGGCTCTTCAATGGCTCAAAAACCTTGCGTTGGTAGAGTAGAGCATATACTAAATTAGGGTTGTGTATTAGCTGATTGGATAAGCATGAATTTATCACTTCCAATACTATACGCAATGCTTCATCAATGGCACTCATCTAAAACATGGGTACATATGAATTTAATATTACAAAATCCAGTAGGTCAACATCAGCGTAAATTCAAGTGTTTAAAATATTTAAAAACTAACATCTTGGTTTGGGGATCTTAAAAATGTTTTTGATAGAACCTCATATAGGCTCAACATTCTTTGACAAACATATGGATGCAGCTGATTGAATTGTGATGACATGTTTGCTAATGCCGCAAAACAATTAATGTGTAAGTATTTATCCTGAAAACAATGAAAATGAGTGAGTGGAGTTACATTTTTTGAAATATGACTGGAAAGTATTAGCTTACTCTCATTTTTAGCAAATTGTATTGTGCTGTTCTTGTGGTGACCAAAATAATAAGACCTCCTAGAGAGATTTCGGACACCACTCTTTCTTGATACCAAGTAGCACCTTTCAGTATAATACTGTGGACGGTTTTGTTGAAGAGTTGATCTTCTGTCAGTATCAACAGTACAATAAGCGCCATGTACATATGTTGAAATCTACTGCTCTGTGTATTGTAAATTGTTCTCAAAAGTGGAATCAACTAAAAAAAATTAGTCATTCAAAATTATTTTCCATAAAAGAAAATACAAGTAAAAATAATTATTTCCTACCACTACTTCAATATCAGTGCGAGCCAGGAGAAATGATTTAAAACTAGGATTACAGTGTATCAAATGATAAAGTAATAAAGTCTTTTCTTCGCTTAATGGAGCATCTGGATTCTCGCCCAAAAATTGGTATACAACCACAAGATTGTCTGTAACAAACAATACATTTAACATAATTGTAGCAATTATTTAGTCATAATTTAATTGTTGGTATTAATTTTAAAACAATTGTTACCAGATAGCGATGCAATGCAGGTACGATAAGGGTTTCCTTTTGGAGGTGACGGTGATGTACAGTGATTAATCAATATCAACAATACACTAATTGATAATGAACTTAATGGACTCTGATTTGTTTGGACAGGAACATTACTACTGAGTGTCAGTATGTTCCATAAATTTGCTTCAATAATGTACATAAACATTAGTATTTAATAAAATTAAGAGCAATAATATTCTTACAAGCTAATCCGTAGAAAATGCCACCTCCTGACATCACGGGTGGCTTTATTTGCTCTGTATACCTTTGTAATAATGCTTTTGACAATTTTGGTGCATCAATATTTTCCATGAATATTCTTAAAAAATGATGAATTGAGTCAGATAAGAATTTTCTTTTAGATTTAATTTAAAGAAGACATACCTGTATATAATAAGACTACTAGATGGTTGAATGGTATACATTTGAATGGACAAAACAATTATAATACAATTTAAACTCTCTAAGTGAATTGAATAGGTAGAATCCCTATGAAAAATAAAAATATTATGTAAATTAATAAAATACCTGATTATAATAATATAACAAATATAGTCATTAGTCATTACTTACGTTACTTTTAATTCGGAAACAATTTTAACTAGAAGTGCTAAAAACTTGAATGATGTTGTTTCATTTAAATCTTCTGGAACAGCATACTCTTTACGATCACCTAATGCTACTTCAATTCCATCTGAAACATAAAAGAAAATTAAAATCTTTAAAATGTTTTTTGTTTTATGAAAATATTAGCAACAATTATTTGAAAATTAAAAATTTGATTGAAAACTGCATACTTTAGAAATTGTAATGTTTACAGATACCAAAGTTCGGTAAAAAAACTATATGATTAAAAAATGATTTATAAAGATTATAATATCTATACCTAATTTAAAATTGATACATTTTATAAAATATACATTTAATTATTGAATTTGTAAATATACAAAGGATTATGATGAAGTAT